AGCACAAAATATTTACTAGTAAACAAGTGCAAATTTATTTTTATTAAGCAATGCCTAATTTACATATTTAAACAACATTGTTACACAAAAAAGTATGCTACGCTTGATGTAATCAGTGAGCTGGAAAGCACAATGATAACTATTAATTGTTTTGTTTTTCCCCCCGCTCTGATCACCTGCAGTGTCACAAGGTAAAATGGATCTGCAATGTTGGTGTAGATCAGGCTGCTATTACTGTATGGACACACCTTTATCAGTAGAGTCACACACGCACCTGCTCTTTGAGCTCTGTGAGCTGATTGGTAAGATTAGAGACGAGCCTCATTGTGGACTCGAGTTTCTCCTGTAAGCTGCGCAGTTCATTCTGTTCACCTTCTCCATCACTGCTGACCAGAGACATCGCCCTCATACGAGGAAACCAGTCCAGATTGTGCTCCTGAATGAGGGTTAAACAAATGAACAATGCGAATATATTGGGATTTTGATGAGCTGAAGTCAAAATCAATAAATTTTCTTTTCTTTTTCAAATATTTCCCAAATGATGTTTATCAGAGCAAGGAATTTTCACAGTACTTCTTATAATATTTTTTCCTCTGGAGAAAGTCTTATTTGTTTTATTTTGGCTAGAATAAAAGCAGTTTTTATTTTTTTTAAATACATTTTAAGGTCAATATTATTAGCCCCCTTAAGCAATATTTGTTTTTTGATAGTCTACAGAACAAACCATCATTAAACAATGAACTGCCTAATTACCTTAACTTGCCTAATTAACCTAGTTGAGCAGTCAAATGTCACATTAAGCTGAATACTAATGTCTTGGAAAATATCTAGTCAAAATTTATGTTTAGTCATCATGGCAAAGATAAAATAAATCAGTAATTAGAAATGTGTTTTTAAACTATTATGTTTAGAAATGTGTTGAATGTGTTCTTTCTGTTATACAGACATTGTATAATATAAAGCATTATTATAGCCACAAAACTGGAGGTTGTTGCAATAAACGTAGAAAGTCTAACTTGCCCCAAACTTTACATGTTTGATAAGAGTCTTGTCCTTAAGGCATCTACATTTCAATATTCAGTTACAGTCAAAGTGCCATCTGCTGGCAACAAACACTGATGCCATTATTATTCTTTTAATCTGTTTATTAAACTTTAAAAGATATAACAAAGTAATTTTACAGAGAAATCTAAACAAATATTATTCCCACCCCTACCTTCTAAACAAGTTGAAATTACATTTAGCTAAGAGAGAAAAGAAGAGAAATAAATAAATAAATCACAAAATCAAAAATAAATAAAAAAAAATTAATATAAAAAAAACTGTAAGGAACACACATATAACTTGATAACCCAATATCATAAACATTATTCCTCAGGTATTTATACAAAGCACTTAGTTGCATTTGCATTACAATCGAAATGCCCTAAGATTTAGATTGACAGTTTGTAGAGATACTGACATGCTCAGAAAATAACATTCTAAATGAGTCCCATGTTTCAGAAAAAGCTCTTTACTCTGCTCTTTACTCTGCAATATACTCTCACTACTTTCATCAAAATAGTCATTTATTTATTAAATAAAAAAAGTTATAAAATATACACAAATGATTTTATTTCAGCTAGAAATGTTTGCTTATAACAAATATTATTTAGGTCAACTTAATGCACTAAAATAACAAACTAAAACTACAATGAATTATACTGAAAACTACATTGACTTCAATAAAAAACATGTAACAGTACAAAAGCATACAACAAAATGACTCAAATGAAAACCAAACATAAAATACTACATTTCTGATCATATTCTGATACTAATGAACTATTAATAACTGAACATTTATCAAAACAAATTCTCAAAAAGCAGATTATTTCCAAGCAGGCAGTGCTGACCTTGATCATCTGAGCGACGTAGCTCTCGGGTCCCGTGTATTCGGTGGAGTCTTTGACCCGCACCAGCACTATGAAGAAGAGGTAATGCCACAGGTTGTGCTCCTCCTTGATGTGCTCTTCAAACGTCACCGTTTTATTATCAAACTTATCTCTCTCCAGACCTGAGTGAACAACACAATCATACACAAATCTATTTCCTCATCACAGTGTTGTCAAAAGTATTTATATCATCATGTATTGATAGTGAAATATTTTTGAAACAATACTGCTTTTCTGCAATATAAATACCTGCAGCGCTCTTTCTGACAGTAAGTTTTAATTCATCTTTATGTCTGTAGAACGTTTACACTGTAATCTGTGTAAAAGCAGCTTCACATAGAAGTTCTAGTTCAAACTTTGTGACATCATAACTTTGCGCCAGACTGTCGTACAGACCTACGGTTGGACTCATTTAACTACCAATCTGCCAATAACTGATGATCTTTCTACCTACTATCGACAGCCTAGCAACCATCAACAGCACCCTGCAACTTTCCCATAGGCTTCCATTGTAAAAAAAAAACTTTAAATTGAACATACTTACAACATGCTAATCCATACTAGAAACATACTAACATACTAGCAACATGCTAATTCATACTATAAACATACTAGCAACATGCTAATTCATACAATAAACATTCTAGCAATATGTTAATCTAGAAACATACTAATACTAGCAACATGCTAATTCATTCTATAAACATTCCAGCAACACGCTAATTCATACTATAAACATACTAGCAACTTGTTAATTCATACCACACTAGCAACATGCTAATTCATACTATAAACATACTAGCAACAAGTTAATTCATACCACACTAGCAACATGCTAATTCATACTATAAACATACTAGCAACATGTTAATTCATACCATACTAGCAACATGCTAATTCATACTAAATCCAAAATAGCAAAATGCTAATTCATACTAAATTAATACTAGCAACATGCTAATTCATCCTGTAAACATACTAGCAATGCTAATTCATACTAGCAACATGCCAATTCATACTAAATCCAAACTAGCCACATACTAATTTGTCCTATAAACATACTAGCAACATGCTAATTTATACTAAATCCAAAATAGCAAAATGCTAATTCATTCTAAATTAATACTAGCAACATGCTAATTCATCCTGTAAACATACTAGCAATGCTAATTCATACTAACAACATGCCAATTCATACTAAATCCAAACTAGCCACATACTAATTTGTCCTATAAACATACTAGCAACATGCTAATTCATACTAAATCCAAAATAGCAAAATGCTAATTCATACTAAATTAATACTAGCAACATGCTAATTCATCCTGTAAACATACTAGCAATGCTAATTCATACTAGCAACATGCCAATTCATACTAAATCCATACTAGCCACATACTAATTTGTCCTATAAACATACTAGCAACATGCTAATTTATACTAGAACCATGGTAATTTATGTAAGCAACTGCCTATAAACCCATTCACACCACCTTAGCAACCACTCAAAACACCTTAGCAACCGTCTAGCAACATCTTAGTAACCACCTAGAACAACCTAGGAACTGCCTAGCAACATCTCAGCAACAACCTAAAACACCCTAGCAACCGCCTAGCAATGCCTTAGCAACCACCTAGAACACCCTAGCAACCACCTAGCAACCACTTAGAACACCGTAGCAACCGTGTAGTGACCACTCAAAACAATTTGGCAACCACCAAGCAACACCTTAGCAATAATTAAAAACACTATAGCAAGCACCTAGCAACACCTTAGCAACCACCTAGAACATCCTAACACACCTTAGCAACCACTTAGAACATCTTAATAATGCCTTAGCAACCACTCAGAACAACCTAGCAATAGCCCAGCAACTCCTTAGCAACCACATAAAACACCCTAGCAACACCTTAGCAACTACTCAGAACACCCTAGCAACCGTATAGCAATGACTTAGCAAATGTTTAGCAACACCTCAACAGCTAGAATACCCTAGCAAAGCCTTATCAACCATTCAGAACAACGTAGCAATGCCTTAGCAATTACATAAAACACCCTAGCAACTGCTCAGAACATCATAGCAACCACATAGCAACGACATAGCAACTGCCTAGTAACCACTCAGTACACCTTAGCAACTACCTAGCAATGCCTTAACAACCAGTCAAAACAGCCTAGCAATGCCTTAGCAACGGCCTAGCAACCACTTTGAACACCCTAGCAACTGCCTAGAAACACCTAACAACGACTCAGAACACTCTATCAACCACCAAGCAAGAAACATACTAGAAACATGCTAGCGTATATGTAGTGATCTATATGTGTCAGCTGTTTCAAACTTCTTCAAAACTACTTCAGTTATTTACACTTTAAAACTGATTCAAGCTTTCAGAATAGACTTTCTCACGCCACCATAAAGTTTGTCCACGAACTTTACTTTTCTACATTAAATAATGTGTTACTTTACTGGTTACTTAAGATTTAAATTTATCGGTTACTTAGATATTATTATTACGTAACTCACGTTGCTTGTAATGCGCTACCCCAACACTGAATATGAGTATCATGACAACACCAGGCTGATGTTCGTGTCATCTCACCACAGATGAAGCATGTGGTCTTCAAGATCTCCTCTTTTCTCTGCTTCTCGCTTCTCAGATCTGCAAATGTGTCAATGATCACACCGAAGATCAGATTCAACACAATGATGATCACCAGGAAGAAGAACAGGAGATCGTACACCACCCGTGCGGCGAACAGACGCTCCTGCAAACACACACGCAGGTTTACACTCAGGCTGTTATTACACTTTACTGAGCTGTTATTATGAATAATTTCATGTGTGCACCTCTTTAGACGGTTTGCGCAGGACATCTCCAACTCCTCCACCGCTCCTGAGGCCATGACTGAGTACAGTGATCATACACATCCATAGAGAATCACACGCGCGCTCCACGTCATCTATAAAACACACACAATCAGTTGGATTGAGGCAGTGAATCTTATGGCATTTCAGTATTAATATGCAAGAATTAATAATAATAGTAACTAACAACTACTTATAATTAGGGTTAATTTACATTAATCAATGAATAATTAATAATTTGAATGAATAACTAATAATTGAGATTTTAATGTTTAGTATGAATAATACGTTATTCCTTTTAGCAATTGGTATTATTTAATAATAACTATAAAATAAGAGGCCACACGGTAGCGCATTGGGTAGCACAATCGCCTCACAGCAAGAAGGTCGCTGGTTTGAGCCTTGGCTGGGTCAGTTGGCATTTCTGTGTGGAGTTTGCACATTCTCTCTGTGTTCGTGTGGGTTTCCTCCGGGTGCTCCGGTTTCCCCACAAGTCCAAAGACATGCGGTACAGTTGAATTGGGTCAGCTAAATTGTCCGTAGTGTATGTGTGTGAATGAGAGTGTATGGGTGTTTCCCAGTGATTGGATGCAGCTGGAAGGGCATCCGCTGTGTAAAACATATGCTGGATAAGTTGGCGGTTCATTCCTCTGTGGCTACCCCAGATTAATAAAGGGACTAATCCGAAAAGTAAATGAATGAATGAATGAATGAATAATAAATAAGAGTTAGTATTATTTAATTTGATTTTGGCTAATTTAGTGACTAATCATTTAAAAAATAGCATTTCTTTATCCCCATAACTAATCAATAAAAAAATAACCCTGCTTCAAATTATTATTTGATGCAAAATATGAAGATGATTACTTTGACAGATTAAAAATGAGTTTTATATTATGAGATTAAACACATGACCTAACTGAAAGGTCTAGTTAAAAAATGAACAGTGCTGCTCACCCTCGTCAACATCATCAGAAAGACACGACCCGTTTCTCGCATCACAAAAACCAGCAGGTAAAGTCACCCCCTCCTCTGAAACACACATTCATGAACAACAGAAAACACATTTCACACCATTAAGCCTTTAAATTGCACTTAACGCCGAATACTACTGTCTTGAAAAATATCTACTATATTATGCACTGTCATCATCATGGCAAAGATAATTAGAAATGAGTTATTAAAACTAATATGATTAGAAATGTGTTGAAAAAAATCTTCTCGCCGTTAAAAACAGAAAAAGATTGTGGAAAAAATTTTCTTGAGGGCTAATAATTCTGACTTCAACTGTGTATATTACATATATATATATATATATATATATATATATATATATATATATATATATATATATATATATATATATATATATATATATATATATATATATATATATATATATATATATATATATATATATATATATATATATATATATATATATATATATGTGTGTGTGTGTGTGTGTGTGTGTGAGTACTGTATATAACAGTTGAAGTCAGAATTATTAGCCCCCCCTTTTAATTTTTTGTTCTTTTTTAAAATATTTCCCAAATTATGTTTTATGAAGCAAGGACATTTTCACAGTATGTCTGATAATATTTTTTCTTCTGGAGAAAGTCTTATTTGGTTATTTATTTATTTTTTGGTTTATTTATTAGAATTTTTAAAAAAATAATTTTAAGGTCAATATTAGCCCCTTTAAGCTATATTTGTTTTCGATAGTCTACAGAACAAACCATCATTATACAATAACTTGCCTAATTACCCTATCCTGCCTAGTTAACCTAATTAACCTAGTTAAGCCTTTATATGTCACTTGAAGCTGTATAGAAGTGTCTTGAAAAATATCTAGTCAAATATTATTTACTGTCATCATGGCAAAGATATAATAAATCAGTTATTAGAAATGAGTTATTAAAACTATTATGTTTAGAAATGTGTTAAACAGAAATTGGGGGAAAAAAACAGGAGGCTAGGCATGGAATGTTACCCGTTTTAAAGGTATAGCGCGGTTTAGAAAAATCAAGGTTTTAAAACCGGCAAAAAATTCTGCAATAACGTTCCTAAGGTATGTGTAAGATTTTTCATTAATGTTTTTTTTTTGTTTGTTTTTCAGGACAACAGTATCTCCAGCAGAAAAGATTTCCAAAGACGCTATTTTAAATTGTAAAAAAAGTCTTTGTTTTTGAAACTAATGAAGATGGAAGTCAAATGATCCATTTGAATTATTCAGCCTGACATGTTTACTGTTCCAAAATATTTTAAATGTTTCTCAAAATAAAATATATTTTGTTTAAAGGGAAAAAATATTTATTTTTTTACCCAGACATTTAAAAAGAATATGTTTTAGAGCAGTAATCACAATACTGTGAAACCGTGATATTTTTATCCAAGGTTATCATACCTTCAGAATCTTATACCGGCCCATGCCTACAGGGGGCTAATAATTCAGAAGGGCTAATATTCTGACTTCAACTGTATATGTGTGTGTGTGTATGTGTGTGTGTGTGTGTGTGTGTGTGTGTGTGTTTTACCCAGAGTGCCGTTGGAGATGCGGTTCACCTCCAGGATGAAGTCATCTTTGAAAAACATATATCCAACAATAGAAAAGAGGTAGACCAGGATGAGGCCCAGCACTGCGGTCAAGACGATGGAGCGGCCGTTTCGAGTCACACTCTTGATGACGTTCAGAAGAGTCTCTTCCCGGTTCACCAGGTCAAACAACTGCACCACACACACACACACACACACACACACACACACACACACACACACACACACAAAATATATGTATATATATATTTTTTTAATTCTTTAAGTTTTATTACACATTTCTAAAACCAACTGTTATTAAAAAATGATTGTTCATTTTATATTATTAATTATTATAATATAATTTTTATTTAATATTTTTACAATTTATTTGTAATATTTACAATTTATTTATAAGTTTACTATTTACTGACATCATTTACTCATTATTTTATTATGTATTATTGTCGTAACATTTTTGAAACTATTATGCATGCTAAACATTTATAATAGTAAACCATGTAATAAGTTTTTCAGACAGACCAGAAGACTGTAAAAGAAGACGTGTCCAAAAAGGCCCAGTATGCAGATGAGAAGGTACAGCAGATGAAACAGGAACTCTCTATCCATGACCATCACCCGATAACCCCGGGTGAATGACCCACGGTTACCCACAAAGCTCAGCATGAACACGATCTTATTACAAACCTGCACAGACAGCAAACAATACAAACTGACACCATATAACTGAAACTGTAACTGTTTGCACTCATACGTCCTTAAAAGCGTATGTAAATGAATGATCTTACATTGAAAGCTCCCAGGAGTGTGAGCATGTGCTGCAGCCCTACAGAGAAGCCCAACTGCAGGACAGTGGAGATGACCAGCACCCGCACTGCATTTGGCCTCGGGGACATCAACACGAAGCCCAGTGAGCCCAACAAACAAACCCACAGCAACAGAGACAGAGAAGGTTCCAGCTGGCCTGAAACACACCATAGGTCAGGGATATTGTGGAAAGCTACACTGAATGGTGCTGAATAAGAGAGGACGTCTCACTTTCGCTCACTCCATCCAGAGGGTAGAAAAATGCCACCAGCAAATTAATGAGCACCGCCAGATTAAAGGAAACGTTACTCCAAAACGACATGTTCCTGCTGCACCAGTACAGCACTGGCTGAGCTGTAAACACAATGGTAAGGATACATTTCAGAAATAATCATACAAAACAATAGAAAGGATAAAAAATAGCCAGTGTTGGGCAAGCTACTTGGAAAATGTAGTGAGGTAAGTTATTAGTTACTCTACTTAAAATGCAGCTTAACTCTTTAGCAGGCATCATAACCACCTGGTTGACCTTTTATCCACAGGTTATCATTCATATTTTTATTGCTTATTACTATTTATCAGAGTTGCGTCAATATATTATTCAGTCCATGAAGAAGGCCAAATTTATTATAAAGGAGTGCACCTTTAACTACACTAAAAGCTAGCCCCTGAGAAATGTAGCAAGCTAAGCTAAATGCTACATGGCAAAATTCTAAGCTTACCTAAGCTTTTGTTTTTCATTTTTAAATCGAAGCAACTTCAATCCAAGTCAGTTCTGACTTAGTGATCAAGAAAACTGCCAATGAAACATATGCAGCATAATTAAATTGAGTTGATTGCTAAAATTAATATGCTAAAATTAGTACTTAGTACAATATTAATATTACTATAGTTGTTGTATTGCAGCTATAAAAGTACCAAAGCAAATTAACTAAATTTCTTCCCTATAGTATCGTTCAAAAACACTATACCAGGGGTCACCAATCTCGGTCCTGGAGGGCCGGTGTCCCTGCAGGGTTTAGCTAAAACTTGCCTCAACACACCTGTCTGGGTGTTTTAAGTATACCTAGTAAGACCTTGATTAGCTTGTTCAGGTGTGTTTGATTAGAGTTGGAGCAAAAATCTGCAGGACTCCGGCACTCCAGGAACAAGTTTGATGATCCCTGCACTATACTATAGTATTTTAAATATTTTAAATATTAATAAGAGCACTTGTCTTGGGCACATTTGCAGTACAAATAGTGAACAGATTTAAAACCAATTAAACTCTAACAAATCAAAGCATCAGAATGAACTTTAAGACATGTACTTCGAGGTATGGTCATCATGCAAGTTTCTTGTGTCAGCACAATGACTGATTGGTAACGGAGCGAGAAGTGGCAAAAACTCACCAAAAAGTTTGTTTTCGACCACCGTAAAACACGAAGAAGAATTCATATTTCTCGCTATCATTTGGATTTACTTTCTTTTTGGCCAAACACCGGCCTTACTGCTTAGTAAATGGCGGTGGCGTCACCTAATGTCAGCGATCGGTAAATGTAGTTAAGCTAGTAGCGTCACTACTTGTAGCGACACTACTGCACAACACTGAAGATAGCATTTTTTTCCTGCATGTTTCCTGTAGGATTCTCTGTATACGTCCTGCAGGATACTGTTTAGGTCAATACTGACCAAGAACCACTGATTCAGCTAAACAAACTGGAGAAACAACTGAAAACCAAACACCTGGAGATGAACATACACACAAATACACATTTACCTCTTAGTTTTTTCTGCCACCTCATTTCATTAAAGAGGTCGTCTGCATGCAAGAAGAAGTCATTTATTTTACTGCCTTGCTCGTCTCTCTCTGTACCATAGTACACACGCAGCTTGGACTCATTTGTCAGAAAAGAGCAGATATTTGGTACAGGAAACACAATCTGTTCCATAGTGCGATCCTGTCGAACTATCTGTGTATTCAAACAGACACATATATAAGATCAAATGTAAAGAGTGGACTTTAAAAGTTTGATCAGTTAAAGGTGTTTGTGCTACCTCTATCTGTGAGGTGTGTTTTGTGTAATACTCCAGGGCCTGGTCCTCTCCACCTGGTTTCAGTAGTATTTGCAATTCCTTATTGTGACGCGACAGCTGGAAAACAACAGGTTAAATCAGATCACTCTATGATCTATTATAGCTCTTAGATTAAGAGATGTGCCTGGGTATCAGGGTTTACTTAAAAGTCTATTTAAAATCTTCCTACATAGAGACCAAAACAAAAACTTGCCGAATGACAAAAATTAAAAAAAGCAAATTAACAGTATGTTATTGTGTCCATTTTTACAACAATCTATGGTGTCCCCAGAAAGTGTGCGAAAAAAAAAAAGTTTTCATGCACGCTTTTTATATGCAAATAAGCTGCAACTCTCTTTCCAGAAGAGGGCAGTGGCTTTACAGCACATACTTCAGATACCCCAGCACAACAAACAAAACCTGAATCCATTTTTAAGCCTAGTTTACATTTTTTGTTTAGAAAATTCTGAATGATATTATATAAAATGTTTTGAATAAAATCATTACGAATAGTTACATTTCTGGATATGGCGACATCCTATTACTAACAATCAACTCAACACAGCCTAGACCAGTTGAGCATAACCTGGGTGGGAATCACCAGTGGTGTAAAGTAACTAAGTGGAGAATCAGTACTTTTACTCCACTACTTTCCTTCAATCTGCAGTCACTATTTTACTTTATCTTGTCTATGGGGATTAGAAAAATCAGTCCTGTGATTCCTGTCCAATCAAATCGCACATAGAAGGTAAATCGCATTATAATGAACAACCTCAAGACATGTTGGTGACGTATAATTGCAGCAAACCATTTGGAAGCATTAAAAGTGATTAAGAAGATGTCCGAAATCATCTTTACACACATTGACCCAGAGACTGTTTAGATGCATGTCACTGAAGAGAAGATGATGGATGTTTACTGTTGTTTACATGACGTCAGATTGACGTTGTACCCCAACATTGCACCATCGTGGGGATGTTGCATTTTGTTTGGAAATGAAAACTGGGTTGATGTCAGAATGCCGATGTCAATGTCCAACGTCCAACCTAAAATCAACCAAATATCAACGTCTAATGATGTTACAGCTTGACGTTGTGTGGACGTTACTACTATGAAGTCTATCAGATGCTGGATTTTGGTTGTCATACCTGATAAATAACTGTCAGTAACTTACATCAATATGACGTGGGGTAAGATGTTGGCTCAACGTTGGATTTTGGTCACTTTCTAACACAACCTAAAATCTACCAAATATCCACATCTAATGATGATACAGCTTGATGTTGTGTGGATGTTACCACTGTGGCGTCTACCAGATGTTGGATTTTGGTTGTTATACCTGACGAATAAATGTCAGTATTTGACGTCAATATGACGTTGGTTTAAGATGTTGGCTCAATGCTGGATTTTGGTCACTTTCCAACACAACCTAAAATCTACCAAATATTAACATCTTTTGATGTCATTTTTGAATAATGTTGTCCTTAGACGCTGGCTAGACATAGAATTTTGGTCACCTGACATCTAATCTAATCTAATATTAACATCTTATGACATAGTGTGCAGAATGTTAAGTTTAGACACATCCTCAAATTACACTGAAATGCATCAGCTTTTTACAGCATAATACTCACTGCTCACTACTCCTGAATACTTTTGAAAGGTCTACTCTTTACTCATACTTTGAGTAATATTTACAGCAGATACTTTTACTCTACTTGTAAGTAATGGCACTTTTACTTAAGTATGATTTTTTAAGGACTTTCAACCACTGGGAATTACATTCAGCAAAAGCAGCAGCAACATTCAAGATAGTTCAAACTAGTGTACAAACAAATAATAATATGACTCTTGTAAACAAAATGCTCTAATATATTAAACATAAATTTATTGTGGATTTAACAGACTATGTGAAAACTGTGGAAAATCATATACCACAAAAAGTTCTTATGTACAGATGTGATTGTATGTGTGTACCTGATGTGCAAGAATATAGATGTTGTGTCCAACATTGCGAGGCGATGCTGCATGATCCTCTCCATTCTCCTGTTCCTCATCCTCAAACTCTGCCTCCCCCTGCTGGTAGGCCATTTTCATCACCTCCACCTTAAACATGAACACAGTCAGGATTGTATAAATGCTGTTGTGACTTACCATCTGCTTACATAGTATGATTTCAGTTAGCACAATGAGTGCAACAGAATGTACAGTGATAACTCACTAGTTCTTTTGGTCTCATGTTGTACAGAATTCTTTCTGCATTCTCACTGTCATGACGGCTCTCCATGATGGCCAGCAGCAGCTTAGATGCATTATTCTGAAGAATTAAGACAAATGATGGTTCACAAGATACAATTTTAAAAAATATCTGAATATTTCAAAAACTGAATATTTAACAGATATATTAAAATAAATAAAATTAAATATTATTGAAACACAATATTTTACTGAAATAATATTATTACAAAAACATTCTAGAATTATGGAATTTAAATATTTATAATAATATTATTTGTTAATTTTAATATAGCATAAATCCTAGTTTTTGTAAAAAAAAATTGAGCAACTTTTTTCATGCAATTATTACAGATCTTCCAGAAATATCTTGAAAGCCTTAAAAAAAATTCAAAACGTCTGAAAAATTTCTGCTTTACAAGTCTTTAAAATTACACAAACTTCAGAAACTACAACTGAAAAGTATTGTTACTTTGTCAATTGAGTGTAAAATGATATACCTTTAGTTCTAGAACCAGATCCATTCTCTTCCTGCCCAGTGGATTAATATCATTCAGAATCAGTGCAATAATGATGTCGATGCCATTAGACTCATGGGTGGCAATGCAATTCTGTTGAATATGGTAAGTATGAGTGATAGAAATATGTGAAATAACTGAAAAATTGAAGTGTGAGTACATGCCTGATTGTCATGGCAGGGACCTTGACAGTATTCAGTGAGGCTCTCTACAGTCTGATTAATGAGCGCTACGTTATGCTGGTTGATGTAGAGTCCTAACAGCCCCAGGCCTCCTGTTGTGCTGCCACAGATACAGTCCAGGAACTGCAGCGTCTCACACACCAGATTATAGTTGTTTTTATTGTTCTGACAGCGCAGAAAATTCTGTGGGGAAAAGAGGAGAAATTATAGGCTGAATTTGACCATACTCAACGGTATACAACACACCCAATAATTTACTCTGTCATGTGACTGGTTTCAGGTTCCTGATGTTTAAGAAAACAAATGTGCAAGACAGTTCTCAGAGGTAATTTTACAAAATCGGTTTGAGGAGTGACTTTCTCTCAGGTGTTTGCAGATTTCTTAAAACAAAATAACAGATGTATAATGTAAAATAAAGTCAAAATTATTAGGCCTCCTGTAAATTGATTTCTTTATTTAAATATTTCCTAAATAATGTTTGTAGGAATAAAGAGCAAGGAATTTTTCACAGTATTTCCAATAATGTTTTTCTTAAGTCTTAACTGTTTTATTTTAGCTAAAATAAAAGCAGTTTTAAAACCATTTTAAGGTCGATATTATTAGCCCCCTTAAGCTATATTTTATAAATCAGTTTTTTTTTAAGAAATAAAGATTTAGTTGAGTGCAAACGTATTTAATGCACGTTTTTAGAATGTATGTGCATCTTAGTGTTTCCCTGCGAAATCCTTAAGTGCAGTTTTAAATAAATAATTGGATGAAAACAGCTAAAGACAGATTTATTGAACCATTCAAAACAGATTTAACAATTTATTAAAAACAGATTAATTCAGGAATAAAATAAAAAATAAAATGCAGTGTTACACATTAAAACATGATTAACAATGTCAGCTTGCATATTGGTCAAACATCAATTACAGTATTACTGAAGATGATAAATATCCATCACAACAGATATGAACACAAGAGTAAAACCTAAAAACAATTTGTTGGGTCTCTCTAATACAGGGATCACCAAACTTGTTCCTGGAGGGCCGGTGTCCTGCAGATTTTAGCTCCAACCCTAACCAAACTAGCTAATCAAGGTCTTACTAGGTATACTTGAAACACCCAGGCAGGTGTGTTGAGGCAAGATGGAGCTAAACCTTGCAGGGACAACGGCCCTCCAGGACTGAGATTGGTGCCCCTGCTCTAATATATCACAAATAGAGAGGCAGAAAACCCCACCTGCAGGTCTCGATTGTGGTTTTCGCACAGCAGCTGCAGGAAGCGCAGGATTGGCTGCATTATGAGGATGACAGGGCTCATCTCGCCCTGCTCTGTGCCTTTATCTCCACCTCCTTTATCTCCATCAGCCGTGCCAAACGTCTCCTCGGGATCAGCATCTCGACGATATGAACCAAAGGCCTTCTTAGTCGCAGCTGAAGCCTCCAACAGCTGCTCACGAGCATCATCTGTCACCACCACACCGGAGTCTTTACCTGGAGATCAGTGTCTTGTTTTTAATCTCATACTGATGTATATATATTTTATAATATGACATAGCAAACTTTAAAACAACATGCAGTGACCTCACAAATGGATTTTGATGCTCTAATCACAAATATAAAACTATGGCAATAATTAAGAGACAGTTTCTCTGGAAATTTATTAGGTATGAGTTTGAATAATATGTTAATTTGTAAGTTTTGTTTTGTAAAGATCTAAAACAAAAAATTTACAAATAAGAAAAGTAATTTAGAGTGTTTTCTACTGAAAATCACAATTGGCCAGAATAAAAGATTTTTTCATTTGTTTTGACTGAAATCAGGGTTTTTCCAGTAAATACTGAATTCTTAACTTTTCCAAAGTTACATCATTATTAATATGTTGCCAAAAAAATATACATAAACATGCATAAAAAATGTAATCAGTATTGAAACAAAACATCTTAACTTTTTACTCAAACGCAAGCCAAATTTATTATTCTACCGAAACAGAATTTTCAGTTGGTCTCTCGATTTTTTTCAGTAACTGTACGTTGAGATTAAGTGCAAATAAAGACAGTATCTGCTCAGAGCTAATTAAAAACTGCCAGTCCAGACCTCTGCGGCGTTGTGGAGTATCTTTGTCTGGAGTGTTGTCGTCACGCCGCTTGTTGCCGAGGTCACTAGTGTTGACAGTAACCGTGGCTTTGATCTCCACCTGAGCCACTTTCATTCTGTCATAAAACACCCTGAAAAACTTCTCTGAATTTTTGTCTTCTGTTAAACGTTTGAAGAAGGAATGCTGCAACCAGATAAAAACACAAACATGACTCCATCAATGTGTTGCAAGTTTGAAAATAGGAAAAAGTCTTGTACAGAATACTAAAAACCATCAATAAAGGAGTGGAGGAAAAAAGAACTTTTACCAAACTTAAATGCTTATGAAATATTGTGTTTCTGTCTAAAGATGTGGTTTCAGGGCCTTAGCATGAGATTTATGATTTTTTTTGTTAATTTCTTTGTCTTGTGTGTAAAAGTAAAGCAGGTCTATAATGTAACCTTGAAAAACTGAGCAGGAGAAAGCCCTCGCTTCCTTGTGACTTTGCAGTGACCTGTGTTTCTGTATGACTTGCAAGAGAATAAAATTATCTTTAAATATATTGAATGTATTGAACATGTTTGTCTCTTATTCAGTTATGGAATTTTAAAAACACAGGCAATAGCATTTTGTTTTTATCAGCGCTATGCCATTGAGAGTGGTTGAGATCAAGCGCATCAAACGAAAAGCGAATGAGAAACATCTTGAAGGGAGCGGGACATGTCAGATACTAGATTTGATTTGATTTGATACTAGACACATTTGATCAGTCAAAAGATTTAAAACTGAAGTAAAAACAAACATTGATCCATTTAGGAGGAAGTGACAAACTGCAAGCTTTAGATGTTTATATCTTCTTAATGTTAATTTTGTAACAGTTTTTTTTTTTTTTTGTAGCACATTAGCTAATATACAGGGTGGGCCATTTATATGAATACACCTTAATACAATGGGAATGGCAGGTGATATTAACGTCCTGTTTGTGGCACATTAGTATATGTGAGGGGGCAAACTTTTCAAGATGGGTGGTGACCATGGTGGCCATTTTGAAGTCGGCCATCTTAGATCCAACTTTTGTTCTTTTAATAGGAAGAGGGTCATTTGACACATCAAACTTATTGGGAATTTCACAAGAAAAGCAATGGTGTGCTTGGTTTAACGTAAAGTTATTCTTTTCATGAGTTATTTACAAGTTTCTGACCACTTATAAAATGTGTTCAATGTGCTGCCCATTGTGTTGGATTGTCAATGCAAGCCTCTTCTCCCACTCTTCCCACACTGATAGCAACACCACAGGAGAAATGCCAGCACAGGCTTCCAGTATGCTTAGCTACAGGTGCTGCACATCTTGTATCTTCACCAACCATTCCCATTTTATGATGGTGTATCCATATAAATGGCCCACCATGTATATCTTTAAAACTAACATACTGATACTAAAATCTAAACATTTTTTATTTTAATTACATAGAACCTTTAATGAGTAAGTAACAATAAAAACTGATCATATTAGTATGTCAGAATGACTTAAATCATAAATGTACATACACAACACTTATTTTAAACTGAACTATCATTTCACTGGCAGGCCTATCTGACCTGTATGATGGTGTTTCCGCCCTCCAACAGTGCGATGGCCAACAGAATGCTTTCATGGAAGACGCGGTCGCTGGTAGTGTTCATGATGAGATCAATGACAAGATCCGATGCCCCTTCACGGTCTAGATGACACTGCACCTCCATTAATGACATCTCAGCCCTGCTCAACCCCCCTGAAATCAAACGAACACACATAAAAATGATTAAATTGCATTACAAATGCTCCCAGAGGTTACAATGTACTTACCTGGCTGGCTCTTGATTGGCCCGACAGGAGTTAGGGTGGAGTTACCAAACGAGGTCAGACTTTCTCTCCGCCCACCACTCCTGAAGCCATAGTAACGATTGACGAGCAGCTGCCGAAGGGCCTCCCCCTGTCATGAGAGTGGTCATGTTATTTTTTACAGCTTTTTATTTGATTTGTTTGTTGTCCAGTAAGTATCCATCATAAAAAAGTGGCATATCAAGAAATGGATAATTAAAGTTGTTGTGAAATTGAATTAAGGCAGTTGAAAGGTTGAGATGTGTTGTTAGAGAGCTGCGTTAGGTGAAGATAGCGTGATGTTAGTGACCTACCCTCTGCCGATCCTCCTGCTGTTTGGGTGGCAGACTGATATCCACCACCTGAGTGAGTGAGCAGAGCGGACAACACAACACTGACACACAATTAGTATCATCATGCAGCAATCTCTATCCTAACAGCATGCTTGGTGTTATAATGAAATCAGTGGACAAAATGACTAAAAATTATGGTACCAAGTAATTACGTTATTAGAGACACACAATTTTGGATAAACCGAAACTAATTTTTTTGTTTAAAAAACAAACAAAAATGCTATGGACAGAACCAAGTAACATGTAATTTACTAACATAAAATTATGTTAATTGTAGAAATCTATTTAAAAAAAAAAACACATTTAATTTATGTATTTTTATTAATTCAATCACTCGCTCATAAATATTTCAATTAATGGATGAATCAGCATTTTGACTAAATCACTCTGCAGCCATGTTTCCATGCAGTGCTGTGAACTATACTTTACAAGATCACATAAATGCTTTATGTACATAGAATTACTTGTGTCCAATTGTTCCTAGTGTTCAAAAGACCACTACCTTGAAAATTGTGCAAAAGTTTTGAAAGCAGTGAATGGGAAAAGATGGTGGTTCCTTTTTATTAAATTATTTGCCCCTCAGAATTTAGATCTAAAATGTGAACTTGAACCAGATGTTCGTAAGTTCTTTCTTAAATTGGAACATAAAGTCCACACTAGGGGCTCAAACTACTAGCTAGCTTATAACTAAATTTGTTCTCACTTCGGTTGCACCACAAGTTCGTAAGGCAAACCGTAGTTAGTAGGTTGTAAGCTCTCTGTACAGTCATGCGTAGTCGCATTGAATGATGTAATATTTAATAAAAAGCAATAAATCGTTAAACTGCTTTAACATTCTGCAACTAATGCATCTATATATAACTGTCCTTTGAAAATTAAATGACAAATTACATTTTCGTAGTACATTTAACTACAGTCAGTCAGTCAGTCACTACAGTCGACTGTAGTGTAGTAGTGTAAAGTTATCAAACTTTTTTTTTATCCTACATATGAACATACCGAAAAGAATGTGAGATTTGGGAGGAAAGTAAGGCTGCGAGTAGCGGGAGGTCATTCTTCAATATCATCATCACAAGCTCTTCCATGAAACTAATCTCACCGTCATCTCTTTTCTATTGTTATACATGGGGGGAGCTGCCGTCAATTAATTAGTTGGAACACAGCATTGTGTTTAAACTATGTTCAGTGGTGCAACACAAAAATATTTAGTAATGTGTAAGTTGTAACTTAGATTTCCTTTAATTCACAACTAGGCTATGTTTTAACTTACACAGAGCTGGTGCAACCGGCCCCTGATGCCTGAGGCAGATGAGACATCTGTAGAGGCAGTCCTCTGAGAATTGATTGAGTAAATTTGCTTCCATCATAGATTTTGCATGTACTGTTAATTGCACTCATCTATTACTTAATTCATTTTCAATCATAAACTTCTGGTGGTGGTTTGAATTAAGACTGTGATCTCTTAACAATTATTCATGCAGCTCTATGTGCTGTGCAAGCAATTTATGAGCTAAATTAAAAATAAATAGAATTGAATATAGAAAATAGAAGAGAAAATGTCCTAAGTAGTGCTGGGCAAAAGATTAATCGTGATCAATGGCATTTAAAATAAAAGTTTGCTTTGACATAATGTGTGTGTGCTGACACATGCATGCATATATACATTACAAGTATCTATGGAAAAAAGGTTTTGTATGTCATACTTTATTTTGATGGTCGGTTTGTTGAATTTAAGTTACATTGCATCTACATGCCAACTAATTCTCATTAGATTTTAAGTAGACTGTTAGAGTTAGGGTAAGTTGACATGTACGTGCAAAGTTTCTTATAGTCAGTTAAATGTTGAAAGAGCAGTATTAGCAGATATTAGACAGACAATCTACTAATACACAAATGGGCCAATAAAATAAAGTTACCATTTTGTATAGTTTTGTTTTATGTAAGTGTGTGTAATACAAATAGATAATAAACATACACTGACCAGCCACTTTATTATGTACACCTTACTAGTACCGGATTGGACCCCCTTTTGCCCTTAGACTGCCTTAGTCCTTTATGGCATAGATTCAACAAGGTATGGGATATATTCTTCAGAGGTTTTGGTTTATATTAACATGATAGCATCATGAAGTTGCTGCAGATTTGTCGGCTGCACATCCATAATGCGAATCTCCCATTCCACCACATCCCAATGGTGCTATATTGGATTGAGCTCTAGTGACTGTAGAGGCCATTTGAGTTCAGTGATCTCATTGTCATGTTCAAGAAACCAGTCTGAGATGATTTGGGCTTTATGGCATAGCGCATTAATATGCTGGAAGTAGCTATCAGAAGATGGGTACACTGTGGTCATAAAGGGATGGACATAGTCAGCAACAATACTCGGGTAGGCTGTGGCGTTGACACGATGCTCAATTATTACTAATGAGGCCAAAGTGTGCCAAGAAAATAGTTCTCAAAGCATTACACCACCACCACCAGCCTGAACTGTTTATACAAGGCAGGATGAATGCATACTTTCATGTTGTTTTTGCCAAATTCTGACCCTACAATCCAAATGCAACAGAAATCGAAACTCATCAAACCAGGCAAAATTTTTTAAATCTTCTATTGTCCAGTTTTAGTGAGCCTGTGCGAATTGTAGCCTCAGTTTCCTGCTCTTAGCTGACAGGAGTGGCACCCGGTGTGGTCTTCTGCTGATGTAGCCCATTCGCCTCAAGGTTGGATGTGTTGTGCATTCAGAGATGCTCTTCTGCACATCTCGGTTGTAACGAGTATTTATTTGAGTTACTGTTGCCTTTCTATCAGCTTGAACCAGTCTGGCCATTCTCCTCTGACCTCTGGCATCAATAAGATATTTGCACCCACAGAACTTCCGCTCACTGGATATTTTCTCTTTTTCGGACCATTCTCTGTAAACCCTAGAGATGGTTGTCCCAGTAGATCAGCAGTTTCTGAAATACTCAGACCAGCCCGTCTGGCACCAACAACCAAGGCACATTCAAAGTCACTTAAATCACCTTTCTTCCCCATTCTGATGCTCGCTTTGAACTGCAGCAGATCGTCTTGACCATGTCTACAAGCCTAAATGCATTGAGTTGCTGCCATGTTATTGGTTGATTAGACATTTGCGTTATCGAGCAGTTGGACAGGTGTACCTAATAAAGTGGCGGTGACACACATATCTTATGTCAAAACAAACCTTTATTTGGGATGTGATTAATCTTTGCCCTGCCCTAGTCTTAAGAATAAGATCTGAATATTATGCATATTATGGTCAAAAACAAATGTCTGTAACAACAATTCATATACAAACTGTCCAAATATTCAGTTATTGCTCAAAAAGTTAGTAAATTTTAACCTATACTCACAAATACCAAAATCTTTAAAAACTACCTAAAATATTACTCTAAGATCATATTATACGTGCAGCACTATAAAAGCGTTTTTTTCTATTATAAATACTTTTTTTGTTACACATTTCATACTAAAACAAGAAGTTAGGGCTTTCACACTACAGCGGTCTTCAGCATCTTTCACAAAAATCATAATCTGCTACTTAAATGGTTGTTACAATAACACCAAACCCCAACACCCATACCACATCTAACGTGTATTCAGGCCAAATCTTTAATTGTCTATCGAAGACAGAAAGAGTAGGAAGATAACAAAAGTTGAGAAATAAACAAAGGGTAGATGGGATGAATGACAAAAAGAGGACAACCTCCGTGACATCCATCTCATCATCATATCCCAGAAGCTGAAAAAGAGGAGTGAAGAACGGGGTTAATGAAAGAGTGGACATTCTTTAAATCAAGCCAGTAACTATTAGGGACATGCGTGTTAACAGATAGTTACAACAGAGAAGATGTGACCATCAACTCAAACTCAAACAAACATGCTCTTAAGCGACTTGCTTTTGTAATTAATATCACACATGCAGACATTGCAAATGAAGCCAGTATGTGTAGAAGACAAAAGATCAACCTTACACAACCAATAAAATATCAATCACGTGTATAATACCATTGTTTTTTTTTTGGGGTAACAGAGCTGAAACTCTTCTGCTAGTCCTCTTTTTAAATGTTTGTGGTAAATACCTTCTCTCCATATCCTCTGTCTTTGGTCATCATCTCTCGGAGTGTCTGAAGGACTTTGATGCAAAGCCTCTCTTCGTTTTCTTCTAGAAGCTGCTTAGTGTGTTTTATCAACCTGCATAATGAACAGATGAAACAAATAAAACAATACTACACTCATAAAATAGTTAATAAATTGTTATTTTTTTAATTAATATGGATTTAAAATAATGCACAATTACATTAGGCACAAGATGCTCACTAATGATTAAAAAAAAAACAGAATGCTCATATTCACTTGCATTTTTATGCCTTAAAACTGGAATTTCCTAATAAAGTGGACAGAATATGGAGGATGATACTTTACTTCTTACTGAATGTTACAAAACATAAAGCTTCTGCTAATATTATACAGGAAGTAGACTATAATGAATACTAAAGTATTATTCACACAGCTACACTCCCAGACAAAAGTTTTGTCGCCTGTCCAAGTTTTAGGAACAACAAATAATAACTTGACTTCTAGTTGATCATTTGGTAATAGAAGTGGCTTATATGAACCAAATAACTTATTAATAAAGTCATCTGGAATGGCAAAGAAAGTGTTCTTGCAGGACTCCCAGAGTTCATCAAGATTCTTTGGATTCATCTTCAATGCCTCCTCCGACATCTTACCCCAGACATGCTCAATAATGTTCATGTCTGGTGACTGGGCTGGCCAGTACTGGAACACCTTCACCTTCTTTACTTTTAGGAACTTTGATGTGGAGGCTGAAGTATGAGGAGGAGCACTATCCAGCTGAAGAATTTGCCCTCTCTTGTGATTTTTAATGTAATAAGCAGTAGCACAAATGTTTGGATACGTCAGGCTGTTAATTTTGCCATCCACTCTGCAGATCTCTAGCACACCCCCATACTAAATGTAACCCCAAACCAAGATTTTTCCTTAATATCTACCTTCTGCCATTTTTCCATATAATCAACTAGAAGTCAAGTTATTATTTGTTGCTTTTACAACTGGGATTGACAGCAAGACTTTTGTCAGGTAGTGTAAAACAGCACAGACTAACATTTTGGCATTTAGACTGAATTTTTGATTTGTTAACAGAAAGACAGAGAAAAATGCAGACCAAAAGATCTGTACTGTAAATTCCTGGTACATGCATTTCCAGCACTATACCCTTAAGAGAATAGGAATAAAGGGACATTTTTCAGTATATCTTTTGTGTTGAGCGAATGGTTTGTTTGTGTTGAGTTATGGTTGTGAACAATGAAATTGTTATTGTTAGGTAAACTATCACTTAAAAAAAGTATGGTTTATGAAAGATAGTTCCAGGGTTATTTCTGAGCCTTTAAGAATTGGTCGTACTTGCAGATGAAGCCTCCACTCTCACACTTGCGGTGGGCTTCAGTGTGCTCTGGAAACAGCAGCTCTGGGCGATGGAGAACATCCACCAACACTGACAACTCAGCCTGAACCAGAGGCCTCAACCGCTCCTCCAATGCAGACACTATATCCTACAGACACACAAAACACATTCACCACACACAAAACACACATTCACCACACACCCTAACAAAGGCACTGAGGCAAAACAATTAAATATAGCTTTATTTTATCAAATTAAATCAGAGACATGGTTCATGATTGATAAGGCATCATAGATCTCTTCTAAAACCCAGTGAGCTGCCTCGCTGACTTCTTAGACATCATCCTTATGATGGAGCCTCCTATAATCATCGCTGCACATCACAAACAAACAATCCTAAAGACTCTATTTACTCTACACTAGTATTTACATTTAAGCATTTATAAATATTTACTCTTTCCCTCTCAGCTTTTTTCTTTTCTTTAAAGTTGCCAGCCATTGCCAGCAGTTTAATGATTTTACTTGAACTGAATTTTAGAATATTTTTCAGCTAGGTATATATGATCATAATATATATTAAAATAAAGAAGCATTTACCAGTAACAGTAGAGATGAAGTCAAAGAAAGGTTGTGTAACTGTAATTTTTACCTGCAAACTTAGTTTCTCTTTCTCAAATTTCAATCGACGCTAGCATTTTTGATAATTTTTACCTAAATTTGACAGCCCTTAGAATAATTTCGGCTTGGAAAACATGATCATGTTTATCAAAATAAAAAACATTAATCAGTAACGTTAGGTATTAAGCCAAAGGGAGGTTGTATATCTGTCATTTTTACCTAAGATCTTAGATTCTCTTTCTCAGAATTCACTCCGTGGAGCATGTGACATCACATACCTCACTCAGGAAATACATTAGGGCTTCCCCTACCTTAATATACCTAAAACACGGATTGCTGTAAAAACTTATCAATGGCAGGGAAGTGTTTTCTTTCAATTGATGAGTTATCCGAATGTCATATGGCAGGGAAAGAGTTAAATAATTGTACATAGTTACTTTATGGTTAGGGTTAGAATGAGGTTTAGGTTTAGGATAATAAAATGCATGTAATTATACATAAATTACTATGGACATGAAACGTAGAAAGGACAGAGGAAAAATAAAGTGTTGTGTTTTTTAGAACTGAATAAAAAATAAGTTAATTATTAATAATCGCTACAATGCATTTCAAGATTTTGCATTTAGCTGATGATTGATTATAAAGCTTGTTTGGCATGCTGTCCTGAGAGAGAGCCCTGAGCTCATAAGATCCTCGAGCCCAGGGCTTCCAAGGCGAGAGGGGAGTTTGAGCTCAGGTAGATCTCGAGAACTCCCTTGCTGTAGTAGCTAATGAACAGAGAGTGATTGCTCTTAAAAGATAACTACTTACTAGGAACATGTTTATGGTGGCGATTTGGATTATTCAATTAACTTAAGTTGCATGTTTTTGAACGGCGGGAGAAACATCAGCTGGCTTGGAAAGGACTAGAACCAGTGACATTCTTGCTTTGAGGCAACAGTGCCACCCATCTAGGAAAGGAGGAAGAGTAGGGGTGGAAGGGGGGATTCTTCAAAACGAAGATGGCTGTTATATGGAACTTAAGGTATTAATAGTGGCTTTTGAATCGTCTGATTGGTGAATCATAAACTGAATAATGCGGGAGTGACTGCAAGCAATCATAAGCACGTGATCCTCTCGAAATTAGTTTACAAATAAACTTCACTTTGGGACTATATTTTCCATGTATTAAATAATATGTCAAAGTTGTAATTTAGAAGAAAAAAAAAACAGTGGTAATGTGACTTCCTCACCTGTAGTCTTTCAATGATGTTGCGATAGTCTCGAGAGGTGGTCAGAACAGAGTCTCTCCGAGTCGCGTTACGGACAGAGAGTCTCCAGCTGAGGGCTGTTTTCTGCACAATGTTGTTGGACTTCATGAACAGATTATTCACCTGACAGTCCAGATCCACAGGAATGGCTATGGCTCTGCCTTTGGCTGCACATTACACAACAGCAAATCTGTTGAAATATCCTACATGATGAAATATCTTAAATGATGAAAACAGCTGCTGGAGAGGATGCTCTTACCCACGTCACTCAGCACTTTGATGCAGGCTTCCACATTCCCCTTCTGACCTGGGAGAAGCCAGTTGCAGTGATATACACGAAACACTCCCTGCAGCAGCTGCACAAACACCGGCTGCCGGGTCTGAGACACAAGGAGACATAGATGGTACTTTTACACCTTAGACTACCTGCAAACTTGTGCTCTGGTCTGATAGAAAATACATTTCATTAATTAGAATTAGTTTTGAAAAATCTGTCCTGATGAATCATTCAATGACTTGCTCATAAAACTTCAATAAAATGAAATAAATCAAAGTTTTGAGCGAATCTCTTGAACTTAGAAGCCACATTTTCATGCAGTGCTGTGAATTGTACTTTACAATATCACATAAATTGTTTATAAACAAGAATTGTTTCCATCCTATTGTTTCTAGTGTTCAAAAGATCAAAACTGTCACAAGCTTAAAAAATGTGCAAAAGTACTAAAAGCAGAAATGAAATGGGGGCTACCTGCAAACTTGTGCTCTGGTCTGAGAATGGTGAGCTGAAAAAGGTGGTGACGATGCTCATTATGGTCTCTGTAACGTATCTCTCCAGAACTGTGTCAGCGTGTTTACGGTCACTTGTGTTATTGCACACCTAAAGGAAAGTTGAGTATGTGATTATCCAGACCCTCTTGACCATGTATCAACTGAAAACCATTGGTAATTTGAGTCTTACTCTGCAGACGTCCACCAGAAAATCATCAAAAAGTTTCCACATGTGATTGCTGGTGTAGATCTCCTTCATCTCAACCTCTGTATCAACATAACAGTGATTCAGGAAGTTCACGTAGGCCATCTTCACCTGCAAGCGCAATTATAAATTCTTATTTTATAAAGTCACACATCCCAGTTTGGCTACTAATACTGGAAAAAAAAAAAGACAATTTTTATTTTGGTTGTGTAATAGAAGAATAGGCAAGCTTTGGGACAGGGGAGTCAAACTCATATCCTGGAGGGCCGAAGCCCTGCACAGTTTAGTTCCAACCCTGCTCCAACACCCTTACCTGTAGGTTTCAAACAAGCCTGAAGGACTCAATTAGTTTGATCAGGTATGTTTAATCAGGGTTGGAACTAAACTGTGCAGAGCTGTGGCCCTTTTGGAACTGAGTTTGACACCTGTGCTTTAGGACATGCTACTTTGTCATTAATTAACAGTTCTGTTAGTTATGGCCAGATATAATCCTTGGACACTTTTTTGCAGTTTCTGCGTAGAATTTTTGTGGAATTATTTTGAGAGTGTAGTAACCAAAAACTTAAAATATGAAGTAACAAATAATCACTTTTTAACTTTTATTTAAGGTTTCCAATGCAAATCTTATTAGATCCACAAAGCAAGTCTCTCACATATCTACTAAAAGACAGAACATATTACTTTACAAACTGTACTATAAATATTCATGTAAACATTTGCATATTAATCAATAATACTACTGAAAATAATGTAAAAACTGAATAAATATATATTTAGACTCATTTAGTAAAGAAACTAACAAGTAAAAAAATAGACTCAATGATGGGCTAAAAAACTTGCGCATTTCTGCATGAGCAGATTCCTTACTCCATGGGAAATTAAGTAGCACATTCAGCTGACGTTCAAGGATGTTTCATGCAGATACATGTTTATAAAACTTTTAAAATACTGTTGCAGACGGAATATAATCCAGATAACATGAAATAAATAGTTAACATCAGGTTTAGATTTTAATCATTATTCATTCAATCCCAGATACAACCTCTATACGATTAACCATCGTATCCACAATGTTAGTCGTTTATCAAAGCTATTTACCTATTTAATGTGTTGTGGGAAACATTAGTCATTAAGAGTCTGAATTCAACTAGAAAAAGTAGATTAGCAATATCCAGTTTAACATATTACAATTTGTTATAGACAATTATTTGTTTATGGACTGTGCAGCATCAGACCAACAATTTACTTTAGGTTGTGAAGCAATCCAAAAAGTGCACACACCTCAGGGATGCAGTCCTCATGTGTGACCACACGTACAATATCATCGAGAGGGAGCAGCGAGTTGCATTTGATCTCAGTGTAGACGTTCTTGCCTTCAGTGCACACAGCCAGCAACTCCACCAGGTGAATGTGATACCTGTAAGAGTGAGCATGAAGTCTTATAATGACAACAACAAGTACGCAACAAACCTTTTCTGACTTTTTAAATGCAAATGAGAGATGTCATTGTAACCTCATTGTGAGTGCTGAAAACTGAAAAATTCAGAGGCAGAGCACAGATATTTACAATCATAAAACAAGATATTCTGCACCAACTTCAACAAATTGAACAAATATTGACATTTGTTCAGTTCATACTAGCATGATTCAGTGCAGTTTTCAACGTTAAATAGATACAGTAACAATCTATATTGTAATATTGTAGAGACAAGACGTGTTTGGGCAGTTTTATCTCCGAACCTGAGTGCACTGCTCTCATCAAGTCGTTCCCGCTCAAGACGCATCATCTGAACCAATGACTGAAAAGACGCCCGGTCATTATAGAACACCAGCACATCCTCACCTGCAGTCACCAGCTACACAAACACACACATAAAACATATTTACTAAGTAATACTCTGTGTATTTCAGCAGTCTCAAAACTGTGAACTTCTATCTGGTCAACAAACCTCAGCCATGACGATGTCTTGGCATTTCTTGATGAACTTGTTCTCTGCCTTGACAATGGTCTGCAGGAACTTGAGGTAGTGCACGCTGCGGCCGTGTGTCTCGATGCAGTGCACAAAATGCTGCACGACCCGCTCATTAATCTCACTACACAACTGGAAATTATTCATGAAGATATGCTGCATGGTCACCGCCTCCAGGATCTAGCAACAGAGAGACCAGGAGAAGTATAAGAATGAAAATTAAAATCTCTCTCTGTGTTGGTTTTTTGTTTTTGGTTACAATATAATAACATGGGTATGACCTAGGTAATAGAATGTTAAGGTGGTTTAAGAGGACTTGCCTTGTGTTCTTGTAATCAAAACTGTAAAAATAACAGGTTCATTTTCAAAAAGCCAAAGTTTTCCAGTAAGGACTGGGGTTTAGGGTAGGGTTGAGGCAATATAAGTGTTGAAACTCCGCGGACCCGGTACCAGGTCTGTGACGTCATGGACTTTCGCTTTCAGATTTAAAGGGCTAGCGTTGCACCAGACCCCCGTAAGTGGTTTCGTTTGAAAGTGTAGAATCTATATTTTATGCACATATGCATCACTTTGGTTTATATTTTACTGTATAAAAGTTATTTACACTTAAAACACAGTATTTTGGATACCCGAGGTAGGTATTTTACATATTTTACATGGTTCATTTTCATATTTTTTTATATGACACATGTACAAGTTATAGCTCAAATAAAAGCTCTTGCCGGTGCTCATACAGTTCTAGCATTTTTTTACTGAATTATATTCATATGCCAAACAGTTGTTGAATGAATTGTGGTTTTTCCATGGCGCAGAAATGTAAAGAATACATTCGTTATCAATAAGCAGCCCCAGATAGCACAGACAGCTGTCATCTCTTACCTTATGCTGTGCCCTTCAGGGCCATTCTCCTCTGTTTTTGAGGTGATGTGCATAAGTAATCCTTTTATATGTCTGATGTGGTCCAAACACAGTGAATTATGTTTGATCAAACAAAAGAATAGTGAAATATGAAAACAATGATCGGTCCCTGTGGCTTGTATAGGACATCTCATCAGTTGGAATACAATAACTTTTGCATAGATTATGGTAGACCTTTTTCTTTTTTCCTATGATTACAGACATGTGCAGGAACCACCAAAATTAATTACAGCACCCTAGACCACACAGAACCTAAAAGGTACACTTTCAATTTTGAGTTTATAAAAAAAAAAAAAAGTGCCTCTTTTTTTAAGGTGTTTATTATAAAACAGACAACATATACAGTTATTTTAAACACTTCCAATAGTGTTTTATGAAAATTCAAAGGGTTTTCTTTAAAATGATACCAAATTTTTGCATTTACACCTCTGCATGTGGATTTGGGAAGCTTTTAAATTTGGGTAGGCAAAATCCAGGCGGAAATCCCCAAATAGCAGCAGAGTTTAAGTGGTTAAATACAGTATAAAATGCAAATCAAGAGTCTTCATAAACACCAAAGTATGTTTGTGTGTTCTTACCCCAGGGTTGAGGAACAGGTTGATGTGTTTGTGTAGAAGTGCCTGGTTCTGCTGATTTCCAGCACAGAAGTTTTGAAGGAACTGATGTGCTAAGGTCATGATCTCCTGCATCTGGACATCCTCCCCCTAAATAGTCAAAAAACACACACAAGCATGATGAAAAAGAATAAGATGCCTTTTTATAAATTAATTTACGTACTGTATACATATAAAGCCAGTGCGACCACAAGATATTTACTACAACCTTCTAAATATTATTTATTTGACATCATTTACATGTTTTGGAATGTATGCAATTGCTAGATGGTCCTTAAAGAATAAGAGGCTGATGCTCAGTGAACATCAAACCTGAAACTAACATGAGCAAGAAGATTGTTTCCAGTCAAATTTGATCAATTTCATTTAAATTGCAAAATTTAGTCTACAAATCTAAGTTAGATGCAACATAACAGGTGCATTTTGGCTATCTGTTTAATTCTGCATTAGCTCTGATTAATTCTGTTGCACTAGTATGCCTGAACACTTGTTTGAAAGTAGCACAGAATAATTTTCGAAAAAGTATTCCTCCAATGGCTGACCCGCACCTTCTCATAAGGGATTTGCAACAGTTCGAGGACCACACTGTGAGCTCCCATGTTCCTGAGGAGCCGCTGCTGCTGTTTCTTATTCTTCTTGCCAGAGATGCCCTCCAAAACACACAGTTTGCTCAGCCTCAGCAGGATCTACACACACAAGCGTTGGAATTCTTTCAAACATAAGATTTACTTCAAAAGAACATCCAATTTTCTTATAAATCTCCATAAAAAACACTGCACCTCTTTCACGACTCTGTAGTTCGAGCTGCTGGTACTTTCCACTTTGGGTTTGTTTGATCTACTCGAGTTGATGACACCCTGTTAAAGCAGGAAAAAGCTTCTATTTAACATATAATTCACTACAATTTGGAAAAGAGCTATTATGTTGCTTCTTGGGTTTTTATTATGTTTATTTAGAGGTACATCCTGACCTTGTGGTGGGCTTCAGGGGTGACTTCTCCAGCATCCAGTCCTGAGTCTGAGCCTTGTCTCTTATACACCCACAACTCTGATTTCTCTACTATTGACCTCAGCTGGTCCAAATCTGACTTGATCTGTTTATAGTTTTCCACATCCTGACTGGTCACCAGGAGCTGAACCTAAAACAAAATAAATGCCTATAAATGGACTATCACAATGTGAAGTAGGGATGATCCGATCCAGATACTTGGATCAGATATCATTTCGATACTGCATATTTTTGTTGGATCAGGTATCGGCCAGCAGTTACCGATCCAAATCCAATCTTGTGTGTGGGTTATATTCTGTGAAATTTAAAAGCGAACAAAAGCCATGAAGGTAGCATATTATAAGGCACTAGAAAGTTGTCATGTATGCCTACTATATCCCAAATGTCTGAAGCCATTCTATAGTTTATTGTGAAGTACAGATAAATATTCAAGTGCTTAAATTCATGTTCAATTCAGCTCTTCTCACTGCTGCGCCTGTCAATCATTCAATTCAAACTGCGTGTTGCGTTAATATCAACACAAAAAAAACTTTCTTCAAGACTATTTGTTCTTGTTATTATAAAAAATCAGTAGAAAAAATGCATATAGTTTTGCAATAAATGGGTTCATTTTGACCTGCAACGTGGAGTTCATTGCTGCTTCTAAATCATGTTGTGCTGTGTCTGGTAGATCAGCAGATTATTACCTGCTCTTCACACACAAAGAAGGCCTACCTGATATTTTAAATTAGAAAAGGCTCAATAATACATTGGACAGACCCTCAATGCACTGATTTCTTCCCTTTTTGCTGCTAAGTTTTGGAAGTGTCCGCAGTTACCGGAGGGCTGCGTGCTGTATATGCATCAAACACTTCATTCACGCACCGGCTGCGCAAACAGGATGTGCGCTGCTCTGTAAAATTATTCTCACAATGAGTTTCTGTTCTCTCATCCTTCCGACTGAGTTTATTCTTTTGAGGGCAATACTTTCAGTGCTGTGAATAGTTTGTTGAGCCTGGCTCATTGTGGTCAAAATAATTTATTAAAGAATAAAAGTTAAACTGATGGTCACAATATGAATTGTCGGTAACAGAAAAGGGAATGCTTGTTAATTAACACTGGCCTCAGACTGTTTAGTTTAGTCTGCGTCAAACCTGCAGGAAAATATTAGGCTTTGCTAAAAGGCTGGTTATTTTACCAACGATTAGGGTCAATAGTTGTAGCATATTGCAGATTTATAAGAAAAATTTTAATATTAAAAAAGAAAACATAAGCTGGACCACAACAGATCAATGTTATAACAAATGCTCAAATAATATAGTCATATACAGTAGGCTTATGAGCCTGTTATTTTTACTAAAGAGGATATATTATTTGAGTTTATCACCACAACTATAAAAAGTGTATTATCCTTTGAAACAAACAAACAAGCAAAAAAATGGTACAGTATCGGGATCAGATCTGTATCGGTCGAATTTTGGTATCAGGATCAGATTGGTTTCAAAAAAATTGAATCAGTGCATCCCTATGTAAAATTGGTTAGTTTTAGTGGTATCATTAATGACTATTGATTCAGTGGTGCAACAATAACATTTTTGCCTTAAAACCAGATTGTTTAGATGTTTTTTATTTTTTGGTTATCATTTCAGTGTGTTTTTTAAAAATCTTTATTATTTATTATTTTTTTAACACTGATTATTATTTATATTGTCATCAATAGTAGACACTAACCCTACATTAAGGAATATATCATCGGCTTTTAAACTAAAAGATCAAACCAACAATTCAGTAACCCATTCACTAAAAGTTTGTGAATTAATCAGCCATTTTAAATGAATCACTTGAATGGGTGATTTATTTCTCATTCATTAATATAGGGATTTTAGTGTTACATTTATTTATCCATGACAGGATTCATCATCTTTAAAACTTTTATCATTATTTTTTGATGAAGATGAACTAATTAGAAAACAAATTAATACCTGTTTGAAGGCCTGTAGGACCTCCTGGCGTTGGCTAAAGTGTCTGAAGAGCAGGTGAAGAGCTCGAGATACCAGCGGAGGATAGTCATGCATGGTCAGGTGAAGCAGGACCCTCAGAAATGTCCGTCCACCATGATCATCAAGATCCAGCGGGGTGTTCTCTTCACTACTTACAAGAACACACACAGACACACCCAAACATAAAAAACTATCATATAACTATCATATATCATATAACAAACAACCTGCTTACCTTCCTCCAAAAATACCCTCCGCCTGCTCTTCAATGTGCTCAAAGTCTAGCGCACCTAACAAAAACAGAAGTTACTCACACAATACTCCTGCTATACCAGCTGAAAGTGACACTAAAAACCATCGAGGACCTCAAAAACGACACGTACGAAGAGAAGATGCCAACCATCAAGGACTTCCAGGACAACACATACACTTATTACAATTCATTAAACATGTACACATACTGTAGACATCACCTATATGCTCTAAGATTGCAGGTTAAATATGTCGGTATATAATAACTTATATTTGATTGTACCCTTAACTTAACTTCATTGTAATGCAGTAATGTGCAGATTTTGTAAAACTACTTTGAAATAATAATAATTGTAAACAAAAAGTGCTATACTAATAAACTTAAATTGAATTTAATTAGCTTATTTCACCTTGAACGCTGGCAGGAGATTCTGGGCTTAAAGATGGTTCACTTTGAGAGTTACTTTCATCAAACTCTGTCTTAAAGATACAGAGGAGGCAGGAGATCCTGTAGTCCAACCGCACATTCAGAATAAACTGCATGAGAAAAATGAGAGCTTTTTTAAATATTGATTCACATGAAACATTACAATCCAACTATTGGCCAGGATGTGTTTGAACACCTGCAGGATCTCGATGATCTTGAGTTTAGTGTCCATCACCAGTATGTCTTGTTTCTGAGGTTCACTTTGTGCTTTCACTTCGTCTCTGTCAGGAGGATTGTGGCTGGAGGCTGGCAGAAATCCCCCACCCCTCAACACTACCTGTGTCATCAGTTCTCCCACCCCATGGATGGAGCGCATCACGTTACTTCCTACAGACACAAACAGGACTGTTTTACACTAGAGAATGCCTTGCTGACATTTTAATTTATTCCGGTTACCCAATATGAATTTGTTTGCTTGGAATAAAAAATATTTTCTGATCTCATAAACTGTATTATACATACTGTAAAAACAAGCTATAGCTATTCTTTTAAAAAAATTGATTTCTTTTAATCTCTCTTCTTTTGCAATATATATGTTTTCATCATACTTATTCAATAGGTCTCAGGTTGTTAAAATTGGTACAAAAACAGTGCATTCGGTTGTTCTATGGGGGTTCCACAGGGGAGTGTTTTGGGACCTTTACTTTTACTGATGTGTGTCAATGACCTTCCTCTGGTAATTAAACATTCAGATTCTTTATTATATGCTGATGACACAGTACTTTTTGTGTCTGGATCAAGTATAAACACAATTAACAATAAATTTAATACAGATCTTCAGCATTTACATCAATGTCTGCAAGACAATCATTTGACTAATAACACTAAGAATATACTTTTACTTTTAAGTACATTCTTTTAAGTAAAAGAATGTACTTTTACATACAGAATGTATGTACTTTTACTCATCTAGGCAGAAACATCCATATCCTATCCCATCACTTTCAAAAATCAAAAACTTTCCATTGTATCTACATATCAATATTTGGGAATCAGTCTGGACTCTCGCCTTACTTATTGTGAGCATGTTCAAAATGTCTATAAAAAGCTGAAACAGAAGCTATTTTTTCATGGGAAAATTAAGACAAATTTGTCTTTTTCTGTTTCTGAAACTTATCTTCATGCTATAATCTTGTCCACTTTGTCAGACTGTTTAAAAAAAACAAAATCTTTGAGCCAATAGCTAGACTGTACATCAGGTCCTATAAGATCTACAATAGACTTTGTGGATGGACACATCACTGTTTTTCCCTATCACTCTCTAATGCTTTATCATTTCAAAATGACATGAACACAGCAGTTAAACACAGCGGTTAAACTGTACTATCACATTTTAAATAGTGCTACCTCAGCAGCCCTTTGTGCTTTGGTACCAAAACCTATTCCAAGAACTGATCGTTCCACCAGATCCATAACAAGTGGGATGTCTGCCATTATTGGCTTTTAAAAGCTGTTATGGACAGAGATCTTTCTTTTATGTATTCACAAAAGTCTGAAATGAGATCCCACAACATCTAAAAACAACACTGAGGCTTTTTTAAAAAGCCCATACTCATCATCTGATGGTCAACTATCGCTATACCCACTGAATTCGTAGCCTGTGTCTCTTCATCTTATATGTTTGGTGATTGTTTATACTGTTCTTATGTGTTGATGGATGAGATGTTAAGGGTGTCTATATGATTTTATGTTCTGTAGAGCAAAAACCTGCTGAAAAACAGCATTCATGCTGAGTCAGGCTTGATTATCTTTTAATCTTTTCCTGTTTAAAAATGATAAATAAATAAATACTTTAAACTATTTGTACCTGATATAAGCTTTTTTATGTTTTTTTTTTTTTTTTTGCTTGAGCAGCTAATTTACGTTAATTCAGTTATCTTGATTTAATATTTCAAACAATATCTTGGACTTTAATAAACATGTAACCACATGAAGAACATTTTATGGCAAAACATTTTCTATAGAGTCCATAGCTATTGGTGTTTCTGACCTTTACCAGGTTCTCTATCCAGCTTGATGTGGAAGGGAGTGCTTATGTGGACACAGTCCAGGATTGCCAATAGGATTTTTGTTAACCTTAGCAGATCACTGAAGTTATAGAAACCAAAATAGATCAGGTTTCTTGCCAGGTTCACCACCTAGGGCAAAGAAAAGACAGTTCTTAAAGAGACAGTTCACAAAAAAAAGCTAAATATGCTTTCCATTTATTCACCATCACCCCATGCAAGTTGTAAATGAATTTCCTTAAGCCAAACATAAAGAGCAATTTAAGTGAGAGCCCTGAGCTAATAAGATCCTCAAGCCCAGGGCTCCCTCCCGTTTGCAAGGCGAGATGGGAGTTTGAGCTCAGGTAGATCTGGAGAACTCCCCTGCTGTGGTAGCTAATGAACAGATAGTGATTGCTTTTAAGAGATAACTGCTTACTAGGAGCATGGCTATGGTGCCGATTTTGATTAGTCAATTAACTTAAGTTGCAGGTTTTTGGACAATGGGAGGAAACCGGGAACCTGGAGGAAACCCACATGAGCACGGGGAGAATGAGCAAACTCTGCTAGTAACGTCGGCTGGCTTGGTAAGGACTAAAAGCAGTGACGTTCTTGCTGTAAGGCAACAGTGCTAACCACTGGGCCACCGTGCCACCCATCTAGAAAAGGGGGAGGAGTATGGGGTGGAAAGAGGGGATTCTTCAAAACGAAGATGACTGTTAAATAGAACTTAGGGTATTAATAGTGGCTTAGGGATCGTCTGATTGGTGAATCATAAATTGAACAAAGCGGGGCCGGCTGCAAGCAATCATAAGCACGTGATGCTATCAAAATTAGTTTATAAAAAAACTTCACTTGTAGCTGAGTAAGTTTTACTTAGTGATTCATGAAATGGAAATCAATGGCTCCTGGCATTTTACAGTAAAAAAAAACATACTTATAATTCAAATTTGATTTATTATACCACACACAATTTTTTTCCCGCAAACTCTCAATGTATCTTCAGGAGCCATGGGTATTACCTTTGATTTGCTTGTATGTGTTTACTGACTGCCAAAGGGTCAATGACTTGCATAAATCAAATCAACATAAATTTTATTTACAAATGTTTTTAAAATTCTACTGAATAAAAAGTGACCTAAAAAGTCATTCATGCTTAGTGAACCTGATGCAAAATGACTGTTTAGTGAACATCTCAGTGAGAATACACACCTCAAAAGTGAGTTTGTTTTTCTCCTTATCAGAGAACGGGAAACTCTGGCAGACAACATCCCTCAGGTAATTCTCCACAAACTCCATCGTCTGAGAGAAGCGCTCTTTCACTTCATCACGTGACGTCCCATCATTATCATAACTGCTCAAGAAACAGCAAACAGACGGGCTAATGAACAGATCACTCATTAACGTTGTGTTATTTCACAGCAATAACGCACTCACTCATCAATGGAAATTTGTGATGGGATTTCAGACCACAGTCGAGCATATTTGACCGGGGTGACCTGCTCCTGAGGGTCACGGTCTACATGCATGTGCAGCATCATGCGGCAGAACGATGCTCTGAGGTCAAAGGGCAAATCTTCATCTGACATGCAGCGCAGAATCAGATCCACATCCAGCTGTGCTGATATCTTGTTAATCGCAAGATACTGTCGATCCAGACACATCCGAGCAAACAAATTCAGCTGATATCTGACAGAGACAAATCACTATGTTAGTCATCCACTGAAATAAACATTCTGGGCCAAAAACTACAATTCTGGATGCATTTGACCAAAAACAAATATGATTTGAAATAATCATTATTTATTATTTAATTGAATAATATATAAAAAATTTTACCACTTTCTAAATTTAACTCAACAACTTAAAAATGTTATTTATTAAAAAACTTAAGCCAATAAAATTACCACATTATATTGACAGTAAAATTTAATCAAAAGTAAATGAGTTGAGAGGTGACAGTGATTCAGTGGTTAGCACTGTCTCCTCACAGTAAGAAGGTTGCTGGTTCGAGTCCCAGCTGGGCCAGTTGGCATTTCTGTGTGGAGTTTGCATGTTCTCTTTGTGTTCACGTGGGTTTCCTCTGGTTTCCCTCACAGTCCGAAGAAACGTGAGTATTGGTGAATTGAATAAACTAAATTGGCCTAAATGAATGAGCGTGTGTGGGTGTTTCCCAGTACTGGGTTGCAGCTGTAAGTGTATCCGCTGTGTAAAACATATGCTGTATAAGTTCGCAGTTAAATAAAGGGACTAAGCCAAAGTAAAATGGATGAATAAATGAATGAAGATCCGAGAGTCGAGATTGTTGCTATGACAGAACACTAGCAGCAGGAACAAGTATACTATAGAGCAGGGGTGCTCAACCCTGTTCCTGGAGATCTACCTTCCTGTAGATTTCAATTATAATAATATCAAATACACCTGCCTGTAATTATCACGTGGTTTTCAGGTCCTAATTAATTGGTTTAGGTGTGTTTGATATGGGTAGCAACTGAAATCTGCAGGAAGGTAGATCTCCAGGAACAGGGTTGAGCACCCCTGCTATAGAGTAATGTCCTGTCGGCATGTTATTTGAGCAGAAATTTATTTTCCGCTGAAAACTGCAAGGCAGTACAACACATCTTTATTTATTTTTACAAGGGAAAAAATTTAGTGCGTCTCTAGTTATCATTACATAATATTAAATGAAACATTCCGCATCACTCCATCCTATTTACAAGTAGGTGTTTTTGTCCTTACCTGTAATAATTGATGACTTCCTGGTCCTCTGTATGTCCATCTTTTGCGTCCTGTGCAAGCTCTCGTATGCTTTTACTCTTCACCTCTCCTCCACTGTCCTTCCAGAACAGCCAGACCTCCTCTTCATCCTCCTCTTCCTCCTCCGCACCTTCACCCAACACCGTTCCTGCCACCTCAAATCGTGACAACACAAGCCTGACACAAAACACACACAATCACTCACAAATAACACACAAACAGACTTCCAGACTTTAAAACTCTTTTAAATTCCTCATGTGCTTCATCACTTTTTTGGCTCTTCACACAGTATTGTTGGTCTAATTGCACACATGCTTAAGGTTTGGGTGATATTACTTGCCAAATAAATCAGGGCTTTAATTTTCAACTGCATATATTTAGAAACCCACAAAAACACTGTGCAACTGTGATCCAGTTAGAAGGCTTCTCAATCTACTAATCAATAATTTTACCACAGAATATAAAAAGAAATGAGTCATTTTCATGACTCAGGATTTATTCAATCATTCCTTTCAAAATGGCACTGCTTGTTTGTATTATATTATGTATTCTTATCATTTCCTTAACATTATACTATCAGTGTTACACTATACCAGGGGTATAGTGTTTTCCAATTTTTTTCTTATGAAGGACCCAAACTTGATTGAGGATTGTGGGCTGAAGGTAAACATAGCAAACTTTTACATTAAAGTTGCCATGATCATTACCTAATTTATTAAGATTAAAAAAAAAAAAGTAATACTTTAAAATTACTTTAATCACATTAATGGTTATATATATATATATATATATATATATATATATATATATATATATATATATATATATATATATATATATAGAGAGAGAGAGAGAGAGAGAGAGAGAGAGAGAGAGAGAGAGATTTTACATACTATAATGAACTTTTTATTGATTAGCTCCTCAGTGTCTTGTGCATTGTCCTTTATCTTCGAGTGACTGCATTAACATTTTTAAAAGTCTGATTTTATGCACGTTTAATTTCAGTTTGCTTTTTTGCAGCTCAACAATGAATGATAGAAATAAACAAAAGGTTATGTTAAATTAGAAATGACAATCTCTGGTAAAAGCATTCCCCCCAACCTTATCCCTTACTTCTCAGGCCAAATCAGTGGTTACCATGGGCCAACTTTGCCCCGCGGGCCCTAGTTTGGGCATCTCTGCACTACACTATCATTCAAAAGTTTCACATCAATACATTTTTTTTTTTTTAAAGAAGCCAATTTATGTCAACCAAAGCTGCATTCTCTTGATCAAAATTCAGTAAACAAGCAATATAGTAAAATATTACTTAATTATTTCGTTCTTGAAAACAGTTGTGCTGGCTTAACCCTTGTGTACTGTGTACAAATTTACTACACTTTTGTTGTTCGGGGCTGTTTTTGCCCCATTGACTTATATTATAACCACATTTTTTGATCGCAAAGCCATATAAGTATATAATCTTGTCTTCTTGATTGTTGCTGGTTTTCCCTGTTGGGAGGTAAAATGTGTGGTTTTATTAAAGGGTGAAAGGGTAGTGAATTTGCCCAGTGTGTATTGTTGAATTTTTTTTTAATTATCAAAGCATTTTCCCAAAATATGTGTCAAAATAGAATTTGTTATCAAAAATAATTTCATTTGGTGAATCACAGAGAAAGTTGTGGCCAAATTGAGACACAACAACATCCCTAACAGCACATAAGGGTTAAAATTATTTAATGAAATGATTTGAAAACATGAAAAGTTAAACCAAAAGAACAATGTTTATTTTAATCAGTATTTTGTAAAAAGGTAAACGTCTTCGCTGTCACTTTTTGATCAGTTAATGCATCATTTCTGACTAAAGGTATGTTTAAAAAACATTTAATCATAAAAAAAAATCGTTTAAAACTAAATATTAAAATATGAAACTTTAATTATATTATTTCTATTTAAAATATTTAATAGATTATTCAGCAACATAATACTGTATATTCTAGAGGTGTAATGGATCACAAATCTTACAGTTCAGATCACAGTAAGGTTTTTGAGTCTCGGATCAGACAAGTTTTTCAGATCAGCAAAAAAGGTAGAAAACAAATGTCAATTGCTTCCCATTTATACAAAAATATTACTGCAAAAAATTATTGCAGAACTGTCATTTGAATAATAATAATACAAATCAAGGAAGAACCTGGTGAAAAAAGGAAAATATTCACTAAGAAAAATGATCTTTGCTACTGTTGCTGATAACACTAAATATTAAAATCTAACATCTTGTACAACAGATAATTTTTAATTTCAATGAATTATTCAGAAATTCACACATAAAACTTCATGTTTCATTATTGGTGGATCATTTTTGAAAACCTATTCAGTGCCATCATTTCGATGGTTGTTTGTCTCCATCTATTGGTTACACAATGTAATTGTGTCAACATTCACCAGTGTCAAGTTCTAATCAACTGGGATTTTAATCTTTACCATAAACATCAGTGTTTATATCTGAACTATAAACTATACTCTCAGTATTTTTGTGTTATTTAATTGTAACAAACTGAAAAAGTGTAAAAACTGAATCTCTCTCGATCAAACGCAGATTTGACTGCAGCACTCTGAGAGATTAATAAACATATGCAAATCACTATTATTTGTCATTCATGTTGCACAGGTTTAAACTGAAATCTGGATCTTTTACTGTTTAATTGTGCAGCTTTACACCGAATGCATTAATGCAGGCTAAGTGACAGAAAACACCTTTAATTACCTAAGAAAGGTTTTAGGTAGGTTCCACCACAACTTCTTCCCTCATTATTATATTTTACAGGGAAGCCTAAATGCTTTCATACATGTGATTTGAATGACACGGGAGATCTCTCTGCAATTGTTATAAACGTTGGATTAACCTACAAGTTTAAAAGGAGTTATTAATCCACAGATCACGTGCTTTCCGATCTGTGGGTTATGATACACCCCTAGTATATTCAGTAACATCAATAACGTAATATTCATAATTTCGTACTTGGTTTCGATGAGAATGTCTGCATTGGCTGGGTCCAGCACAGCATTACAGATGAGCTCTTGAGTGACCGGGATGGATTTATTCATCGACACACACAGATCTGACAAGTAATCCAGAAATCTAGAGAAACACAACCATTCACAAGATTAATTCAACCATTCACAAGATTTTTAAGATCAATTAAAAATCTTCTAAACTATTTTAAAACATCGATTTTTACAGTCAGTCTCACAAACGTCACTCAACTCGAGATGAATCACTGACATTATAACATTTCTCATTTGCTAGTCGCTTTAGATGAAAGGGTCTGCAAATGAATACATGTAAATGACCATAACTATTATGCAGATGTATTTTTTCGCACACCTGGGCTCTCTGTTCTTGCGGACCAGACTGACAAAGGTATCTATTTCAGCTGCTGTGATGTGTTTCTCTAGGAGCTTCCTGTTGTTGTGCAGAAGGGCTGTAATTGTGTCTTCAGCCAGCACATCATATCCTATCTGCTTCTGCATGAAGCGGAACTGCTTTGCTATGTACTCCTGAAGACAAATCAACAAATTAAGAATGAATACTGCACATTGTTGTGGCTGTATTTCGTAGCTGCTCATTTATTTTAGTAGTTCACCTGATTTTTGCGATAGTCCTGTTGTGAGTAACGTAGGACTCTGTAACAGAGTCTGCAAATGTGTCGAAAGGGTGCATGACGCTGGTCTGCGAGCTCTTCTAATCGCAACATAGGGCCGTCCCCGCTGTCTGTAAATGGCGCCTGCAGCAGCTTGAAGATCTGGCCATTGACAAAAAAAGAATGGATTAAAGGTTTAAATGTTAGTGACTTCAATGTTAATGTGATTTTAAACCGTAAAAATGAGATAATAAGTGCCTGTTTAAGAATGTTCTGCTCTCTCATGAGTTTCTGTCGCTCTCTGTTGGGTTTGTTGACTGTGATCTCCAGCACATCTTGAGCACTGCTGGGTATGTCCACCACAAAATACACCAGATCCTCCAACAGCTTCGTCACTGACCTGTGTGTGAGGATGGATGAAAACAAAATGAAAACAAAACAAAGAATGGATGAATGAATAGATAGATGAATAAAAAAACTGTTGAATGGATAGTAAAAATAAATTAATGGACGAATGAAATGACTGATGGATGGTGAATTTCTAAATGAAAGGATGGATGAATAAAAATACTGATGGATGGATGGATGGATAGTGAAATAATCAATAAATGGATGGATAAAAAGACTGATGGATGGTGAATTAGTAAAAGAATGGATGGATGAATAAAAACACGGATAGATGGATAGATGGATGCATGGATGGATGGATGGACAGATGGACGGACTAAAAGACTATTGGATGGTGAATTAATGAATGAATGGATGGATTAATAAAAACACGGATGGATGGATGGATGGGTGAAAAGACTGATGGATGGATGGATGGATGGCTGGACGGATAAACGGATGGATGGATGAAAAGACTATTGGATGGCGAATTAATAAATGAATAGATGGATTAAAAAAACACGGATGGATGGATGGATGGATGGATGGATGGATTGATGGATGGTGAATTAATTAAGGAATGGATGGATACATAAAAAAACAAATGGATGGATGGATGGATGATAAATGAACGGATCGATGGATGAAAAGACTATTGGATGGCGAAATAATAAATAAATGGATGGAAGAATAAAAACACGGATGGATGGATGGATGAAAAGACGGATGGATGGTGAATTAATTAATGAATGACAAAAACACGGATGGATGGATGGATGGATGGATAGATAGATGGATGGATGGATGAAAAGACTGATGGATGGTGAATTAATGCATGGATGGATAGATGAAAAGACTGATGGATGGCGAAAGAATGGATGGATGGGGGGATGAATGGATGGATGGATGGATGGATAAAAGAATGAATGGATAAAGCTATTGAGGACAAGACAGGTGAATGGCAAAACGAATGAATGGATGGACGGATAAAAGACTGATGGATGGATGAAAGAATGAATAAATATATGTACGGACGGATGAAAAGATTGATGAACGGAGAATAACCAAATGAATGAATGGATGGGTGGGTGGATTAATGAATGAATAGATGCATGATGAAGAGATGCATGGAAAGATGGATCATTTAATGAATATATGAATTAATGGATAGACAGTCAAAAAAATTCAAATGGACAGATCAATAAGACAACTGATGAATGAATGGATGAAGAAAGGATGTATTAGCAAACAGATGAATAAATAAAAATGATGTATAAACGCATATATCCTCTACCTCCTCTCATTCTGGGTGATGGTGCCCTTCTCCAGTTTGGCAGCAATGGAGGCCAACACTTTACTAGCATCATTAGCAAAATCCAGATCTCGAACCTCAGCTGGAGAGACTGGTACTATAGCAAACGCCTCTTTATCTTCCTTCAGAGGAGACGTTCCTATCTGAGACACGAACAGAAAGTTGAGGAGACACACTTCACAGAACCCAGAAATACAGTCATACACAGACAGAGACACACTCACTCTGAGCATGACCGGTTTCTCTTCCTCTTTATCTATTGGCTGGTTGGTGCTGTGGACCCACGTGTTGGTGCAGAGATGCCTGAGCCTCACATACGAGTTTCTAACAAGCACAATCCAAAATACAGAACGTTTAATTGCGCATATTTAATCATCAGAAGTCACAAAAAGTCAATCTTGCTCCACCTTGGCACAAGTGAGTCTCCGCCCCTCAAAGTTGTAGGGTCAAGCTCAAAGATGGAGGATATGTCATTTCCATCAGGAACAGACACCAGTGTGTACATCACCTTATCCTGAGGGTTACGTGCACGAGCCCGAATCACTTCATGCTCCGAATCCATCTGAGAGAGAAACAGTGGAAGAACCATGAACACACACTCACATTCACTTTCTGCTTTAGCTAAGCTAAGGTGTGTATAAAAATGCTAAAGAAACCCTCAAATTGCTCAAGCTATGAATTCAGAAGAGCTCAGATGCAAGGGAAAAAGCACAGGCACACACACAGACACACACACACTCAAGCACACACTCACAGAGGAGCGGGACTCCAGGCATTCTTCTTCATAGTCTGGATTTACCTGATCACAATAAGGTGAGAACAATTAGATGAAGGTCTCAAATTCTCTGCTCTTGCTGATATCAAGCTTTCTAAACAGACACTTTTTGACTTATATATGCCTGTGTGTGTACAACTGAAGTCAGAATTATTAGCCCTCCTGAATTATTAGCCCCTCTGTATATTTATTATGTGTGATTTTTTTTTAAATTCTGGGAAACCTAACCTCTGCAGCAAGGTAATGGCCGGTGGCTAAGTGTTTAAACCTAAAGAGGCTGTTCCAGTAGCCGGCTCCGCCTCGGCAGGGATCATGCTGAACCACCTGAAACGCATGCAAACATCTGTTCAGATTCCCAAACTAACAAAAACATCTGCTCAGTTCACAAAGTTAGGTCCTAAACTTACCTCTACCTCCCAGAGTGCTTTGCTACTAGTGGCGGAGGTTGCAGACTGGCGTCCGGTGGTACGCAGAAACACATACTGCTTTTTCCGATGCTCATCACATGTCAGAAACTTCTCCTGCTCTGCATGAAACAGCCTCACCACGTCACCCTGATAACACATGTATTTTATTAAAAATCTGAAATACTGCTGGGAAAGTCAAACACTGCACATCGTGTGGAACATACTCCTTTCAAGACAATCTCCTGGTTGTCGCTCCATTTCATGAAGAGAACGATTTTCCAACTGGTGGTGCAGTTCACTGAATTCACCTAGGAAAGAAAAAATACTGAAACACAGCAGTTGTGTTCATATATACGGTTCTTAGTTTAATTCACTTTCTTAACAATCGTATTTTTTAATGGACCAGGCTGACTTCTCAATCTTAACACTTCTCAGTGCATTAAAAATGTCTTAAACTTTACAAATGTTATTTCTAGACTTTTAAACCTGGAAAAAAAATCAATAAATTAATAACTATATTAGGATTTTTATACATTTTATGAATATACATTCCTAAATTTATGCCAAGCTAAGAATTTTAAGTAAAAAGTATTGAAAAAAATATCTTCTTAAATACCTTTCCACAGGACGTTATGAAATCTAATTTTGTTCACCCAATGTCACTTTATTCAATTGAATATTTTTTTCCTGTTTTTAATTTTTTTAATCAATCTGTTTTTATTCATTATTATTATTATTATTGTTGTTATTTTTTATTTTTACAATTATCAGTACATAATTTATTTTTATAGTGAAAAAAAATTATAAATAAAATGATAAATAAATGATACAATTAAATGATTTTATAATAATAATAGTAAAAATAATAAAAATAATAATAATACATTTTTTGTTATATTTCATGACTTTTAACGATAGATTAATATTTATTAATTTTAAAAAAGTGGAACCTTATGCAAAATGGGACTTTTATTTTATTCCAATTTAAATCATTATTATTAAAAATACTATAATAATATAAAAAGAGGATGCTGGGATTCATCACTGCGTGTCACTGACTACATTAAGCCTCATTCACACTATTGTTGTGTTCACACCAGACGCGACAAGCACGGATAAATCACGCATAAACATTTTGAGTTTACTTGCTTCATTCACGCATCTAATCCGCTTCATACGTGCGTCAAATTCACTGAGCAATAGACGCGGCGTCACCTCATTAGAGCATATCGCGCAGCAGGATGTCTATTCACGTCTTTACATTGACTTCACATGTAAATCACTCAAGCTTGACGCTTCTTCCGCCTTTAGTGTGAACGCAGCTTGAGCAACTAGCAGCAGCAAAGCGTCAAGCAACAAAGCGAAAAATCAACAAAGCAACAAGCAACAAAGCTGAAAAGTGACAAGCAACAAAGCTACAAATCGACAAAGCCACAAGCGACAAACCGACAAAGTTACAAATCGACAAGCAATGAGTGACAAAGTATCAAGCGTTGATTCATTTCAATGGAGAGTGAGCGTCCTCCATCTACGCAAGCGACGGTGACCGTTGATGGGTGTGTCGAGAGACGCGACAAAGTTGAGAATCCTTCAACTTTAAGCAAATAAAGAGCAACTTTCTTGAGTGACAGCCAATAGGAGCACCACGTGATCTTCTCTCAGCTCACTCAGAGGCCGGTTCTATTCATCCTGTATATACCTATGCAGACCTGCGTGTGCAGAGCAACAGGCAGCTACAAAGTCGCTGCTAGTGTGAATGAGGCATTAAACACAACACACTGATAACATGTTCTGCTGTCAAGCAGTGTTTAAAATGTCTATCAGTACGTTTTTTTTTATTAATTGTATGCCACTCAAAATAACCAATATGCTGTTTATATTAATGTATTTTACTTCATTGCAGCCTGGATTATCCACAAGCTGATGGCTGCTGGCGTGCAGCGGCTGTCCGGCATTGACAGGGTTTAACACGACCTTATCTCCAATGACCACCTGAAGACACACAAACACAACAAGTGGAGCTCTAATGCGTGTTTATGTAAGTGCGATAACTCGGACCACATAATAAATCAGATTAACAACCAAGATAACACCGGCTGTTTTTCAGTGGCTAATGACATACTCACATTATCCCCTATAGAGCGCAGCTTATAGAAGGGCTGGATGTAAAACCACGAGCCTTCATTCCCTGCAGCGTCCAGAGTCACACGCATGGCATTCTTCTCAAGAAGAGCCGGCAAACGCTTATTCACCGTCAGATATTTATTACTCTTCAGATGGAGAAGCTGCGGATGAGTGGAAACAGTTACATGGTTAATTTAGCTGCGAGATATTTTTCGTCTAATGGAAAGACGACATCCGAACAACACCTTTATGTGTTTCTTTTACAGCAATTTTCCAACTTGTGTCTGTAGATTTCAATTACAATTCATCATTTTAAAGGTTGTTTTCTCAAAAAGAATTTTCTCTCCAGCACTATGCCATAAACATCCACTGCGCTGTTCTGTATGGTTCGCCATCGCTCACTTCAGTTCAGGTTTGCTCAGCTCAGTTTGCATTTCCACTGCAGTTTAGTACCAATTTTTAATACCAGAAATATAGCTATAAGTGCTTGGTCTGTATATAGCAGTGGACCTTTTTACATTTCTGGCTTTCTTAGTAGCGAAAGTCATCTTAGTTGGGGTGAACTTAAGGCTGATTTATACTACTGTGTCGAGTGATCGCCGTGCATTTATACTTCTGCATGCTGTTTGTGTTGCTCTGTAATAACACTTCCAAAACACTAGCTGCTAGTAGGTTTTTTTGTTCTTCTGTGTCGAGTTTGTTTCGCAGGTGTTTTGTTTTTTCTGAATGCTACCTTAGCTAAAACTTGCTCATTCAGAGGAGGGAACCAGCGGACGAGCAACAACTTTAATCATAAGGTAAAACACCAAAACAAAAGTTTCCATCTGGAGCTTCTCCATCACAGGACTCGATACTTGTAAACACTTGCTCCAATGGGCTTGCGGCTGTTAGTACCACCCACACTCATCACAGTTACCAAGCTGACCAATCACAGAGCTAGCGCTAAACATCATTGTGACATGTAGTTAAATTTTTTGAGAGGTGCATGTCAGTGTCGACGTCAGCCACAGCGAGGGCTATGCGACCTGCAAAGGCTGCGCCGGACCATACACATGCGCTTGACACATAAGTATAAATCAGCGTTTTTAGCGAGAGGACAATAAATAACTTTTCTATAATACTTTTTGCTCAAATAATAAAAGAATAACTCCACGATGGTGCTAGACTTTCAGAAAAAGGAACAAATAGTGTGAGATTGATAACAGCAGCCAGAAGGCAGAACAATGTCAAAAATATTGTCCTGCCCCATAGATGCTGCAGTAGAAATCCTCACACAAGCAGTCATTTGTCTTTGTAATTTGATGCAAAGATGATTTTAAAATCTAAATATCAAAAACTTTCAAGAATTAAGACACCATAGTGGGGTTTTTCTTTAATTATTTCAGCAAATAGGATTGTAAATTGATATTTGTTGTATTATACCATTCACTGCTCTGTAAGTTTACTCAACTATGACGACTTCCGCTACTGAGAAACCCAGAAATGTAAAAAGGGTCCTTTGATCATTGATGAATTATAACTGAATATTGATTATTAAACAGATGGATTTATTGATTAACTGATATCAAATAACTGAATATTAAGTAAAATGAAACACAAAAACACAACACCATCATCGTAAATAAATAAATGTAACAAGCAAATGAATGACAAACGAACACACAAACCATGTGGTCTGTCTCACGCTGATAGTGACTCAGATCAAATGGTGATCAGCAGTGTGAATACGTCCCGTTATGGTAATGGTATGGCTTACTTGAAACCGCACCTACTATAAAAAGTGCCAGGTACTAGGGACAGAAGGTACTAGGTACCAAAGCGAACCAAACCAAGCTATATCATGTAGCAAAGTCACAGTTTTATATTCTATATATACAGTATATCTATAATCTGAAGACAGAGGGATATATTCATGCATAATTTGCCTGATCAAATACAAGCTATAAAAAAGACGTGAAAATGTATTTGTTTTCTGGCTTCAGCGAATGTTTCTGTTTTTGTGCTTGAAATGCATGCAAACTAGCACATCTTTTCAAAAACAACATATCATTTGCATATTTAAAGATAACACTTCAGAAAACTTATGGAACATTTTATCATGGCTGGGAAAGTCTGATGATAAACATTAGTTCGTTTAACCTTTATTCACCTGCAGTGTCTTGTCTTTACGGATTACATCATTTAAATATCACTAGTTCTTCCATGTGTGAAAGAATTACCTGGATGACATTGCCATACTGAATGACGGTTCCAAGCAGCTTTTTGTTCTCAGAATCATTTTGTTTCTTCTCTAAATCAGCAGCATGCTAAAGAAAGCAGAGCGAGAATCAAAAGAAAGCAATGAAATTAATAAATTGGGGTCTGCGACACTCGGTGGGCCTGGATCAAAGCTGCGCTTCCCACATAAACACCAGAACACCACCTGACAGAAACACAGACTACTCTTAAAAACATTCGAGAAAGCTTCAGAAAGGTTAATTAATACAGTAAATTTACTGAACTGTCCTACTGAAAAGAAGCAAACAAACTGCTGGTTTTAATGACATGTCCTGTGAGATTGCTCAGATGGCCCACAGAGCATTCTTCACAATCTGTTTCATTTACAAGCTCATCTTTTTTAATTGTCAGCAACTTTTCATCATTCTGTGTGTATATATAAGGTCATAAGCAGAGCATAGGAGGTTGATGTCTGTGTGTGTGTGTTCCTCCATGTTTTTAAACATAATATTTGTGTTAAAAGCACTTAAATAACTTCAGTCACAAGATATATTGATCATTTCACAACTCAAGAACATGTACAAGTGCCAGTATTAGGGTTGGGGTACCAAAATTGGCCTTGAACATTGGATCACATCAGAATGCACATTTTGTGCACTTGTTTACTTTTCGATGATCTATTTTGCCTCCATTACACTACCTGACAAAAGTCTTGTCGCCGATCCCAGTTCTAACAGCAACAAATGATTTGTGCTGAACATTACATTAAAAACCACAGGAGAGGGCAAATACTTTAGCAGGATAGCGCTCCTTCCCATACTTCAGCCTCCACATAAACTGTCCTGAAAGCAAAGCAGGTCAAGGTGCAACAGGATTGGCCAGCCCAATCACCAGATATGAACATTATTGAGAATGCCTGGGGTGAGTTGATGGAGGAGGCATTGAAGATGAATCCAAAGAATCTTGATGAACTCTGGGAGTCCTGCAAGAACGCTTTCTTTGCCATTCCAGATGACTTTGTTAATAAGTTTTTTGAGTCATTGCAGAGATGTATGGATGCAGTCCTCCAAGCTCATGGGAGTCATGCACAATATTAATTCTTTTTTCTTTTTAATTCTCTTCTTTTTCCACTGCACCATGACTTTATATTCTATACTGTGCATTATTTCTGTTAAGTGACAAGATTTTTGTCTAAGCAAAGTCAGACCTTACTGTCCTAATTAAATAATTAAAAATCAAGGCATGATCATATTTTATTTTGGTAAAATAAGCGTAATCTAGAGGCATTTGCCTTTCATATAAACCAATTCGGATAATAAATGATCAACTAGAAGTAAAGTTATGATTTGTTGTTCTTAAAACTTGGATAGGCAACAAGACTATTGTCAGGGAGTGTAGGTACTGATACTTCTGTTTCTCTGTCACCTAAAAATGGCAACTAATGAGACGACAGTCAAAGGGATAGTTCACCCAAATATTTAACCTATTACTCACACACAAGTGATTATAATCTTTTATGTTTTTCTTTCTTATGCTGAACAAAAAAACAAGACAATATGAAAAAAGTTGTAAACCAGCAGCCACTAAGATCCATATTAGGAACCAAAAATACTAAGAAAGTCAATGGCTGCTGGTTTACAGCATTCTTCAGAATATCTTCTTTAGGGTTGAGCACAAGAAAGACGCTCAAACAGATTTTGGACGAATTAATGATATTAGAATTAATGACAGCATAATTTTAATTTTTGGATGAACTACCCCTTAAATAGTCTTGCCGCGCCATCAGGCAATACTCTGAGCTGTGAACGCTAAATCTAGCCCAGCAATTATCAGCTGAACTAGAAATCCCTGTTATAAGAAGCAAACAGATCATCTCTATAGAGGACTTCACACTCACATGGAGTTTGTTAAGCAGGACAGTATCTGTGGTGCTAGTTCCTCCAGGTTTGGCAGCTTTCCAGAACTGTTTCTGTGCCGAATATCTGTTCATGGGACACAGTCTGAACAGACAGTCTACAGAGAGAGAAAGAGGGAACAATGCATTTCATCTAAGACAAACAGAACACAAGCATCGCTCATTACTCCTGTAATCAGATACACTGCACTTTCGACACACACACACAGCTTTCAAAGTCTGCTGATGAGGATGACGAGATCATAAATGTCAAGCAAATATCAAAATCAGTATGTAAACTGTGTGTCTGTGTGGTTTGAGTTCACATGTGCTTTCAAAAACGACTAAATGCAAGCAAAACACATTTTTTTCAGTTTCAGTAGGACTTAATTAATGACATAAATTCAGAAGCACCTAATATTACAGAAAAAAAACGTTGATTTAAATGTGATAAGCAAAAAGCTGCAGACATAAAAGTGAAAATGCACTTCTTCTTTCTAACTGAACTACAGTCTTACCAAATAAGGAGAGAGGGGGAGTCAGAGATAGACACGAGTGACACACACACACACACACACACAGAGCGAGAGAGACAAAGAAAAAGAATCTGCTCTCTGCTCCTAGTTTCTGGAGATTGGGCTTGATAAAACACCCAAAAGCTCTTGGGTCAATGAAAGAATGTAGAACATACACTCACATTACCCCATTGCCCAAAAAAACCCCAACAATTTTATCTGAGAAAAGGGGTTGCCAGGGTGTTGCTTTATACGCTTATGCTAAAAACCAAAATCTACACAAAATCTACAGCTCCATTCCCTCCTTCAGTGGAGGTCTATTATGCTGTTTTTTTGTAATTATCATCTGCTAGACAACAATCTAATAAGTAAGCTTAATCATTTAGGAATCATACAAAAACAAAAGAATGAAATAATTGCATTAGAAAGTAACCCATCACATGCTTTGCTTTGGTGTGTGTTTATATTCGAAGGAAATAGTACACATTCCTCTCTCCTGAGGCCCACTGACCATCAGACGGTTATCTCTGCCTCTCTCTCCCTCCCCTCATCACAGACTCAAACACACTGCGCAGAGGTTATTTACACACAGCACTGAGCTACTGAGATGCATGCAGTTGATAGAGCAGCAGATAAATGTTAAAGGGATCATTCTTTGTGTTGTGTGAAAGATCAAAACAGAAATTGTAACAAACTAACATATTAAAAGCATAGTTCATTATCCAAAAATGAACATTTAGTCATCATTTACTCTTTCACCACTTCCTTCAAATCTATTTAAAGTTCATTTCTATTGTTGGACACAAAAGGAGATATTCTGAAGAATGTTGGAGTAGTAAGTATTAGTAAGTCAGAGTAAGCAAAGGGTCAGTCGATTTTCTTTTTAAGTGAACTAACCTTTTAAATAAGTGAAATATAGGTTCAGTAAGATTGCTTGAATGAATTTAATATTTAATACTTTCATATAGTAAACACTGACATGTGTGTGTGTATACATACATGCATACAAACATACAGTCACTGGCCACTTTATTAGGTACAACTTACTGAGGTTGGACCCTCTTTAGAACTGCCTTGAACCTTTGTGGCATAGATACAACAAAAATACTGGAAAGATTCCTCAGAGATTTTGATCCATATTGACATGACAGCATCACACAGTTGCTATCTCCCATTCCACCACATCCCAAAGGTGCTCTGTTGGATTGAGTTCTGGTGACTGTGGAGGCCATTTGAGTACAGTGATGTTCAAGAAACCAGTCTGAGATGATTCACGCTTTATAACATGGCACGTTATTCTGTTGGAAGCAGCCATCAGAAGATGGGTACACTGTGGTCATAAAGTTATGGACATGGTCAGCAACAATACTCAGGCAGGCTGTGACCTTGACACGATGCTCAATTGGTACTAATGGGCCCAACATGTGCCAAGAAAATGTGCCCCACACCATTACACCACCACAAGCCTAAACTGTTGGTACAAGGCAGGATGGATCCATGCTGTTGACACCAAATTCTGACCCTACCATCCGAATGTTGAAGCAGAAATCGAGACTCATCAGACCAGGCAACGTTTTTTCAATCTTCTATCGTCCAATTTTGGTGAGCCTGTGAGAATTGTAGCCTCAGTTTCCTGTTCTTAGCTGACAGGAGTGGCACCTGGTGTGGTCTTCTGCTGCTGTAGCCCATCCACCTCAAGGTTAGACGTGTTTTGCGTTCAGAAATGCTCTTCTGCATATCTCGATTATAACGAGTGGTTAATTGAGTTACTGTTGCCTTTCTATCAGCTGGAACAAGTCTGGCCATTCTCCTCTGACATCAACAAGGCATTTGTGCCCAGAGAACTGCCACTCACTCAATATTTTCTCTTTTTCAGACCATTCTCTGTAAACCCTCAAGATGGTTGTGCTTGAAATTCCCAGTAGATCAGCAGTTTCTGAAATACTCAGACCAGCCTATCTAACAAGAAACACACCACGTTTAAAGTCACTTGAATCACCTTTCTTCCTCATTCCTAAATGCATTGAGTTGCTGCCATGTGATGGGCTGATTAGAAATTTGCGTTAACAAGCAGTTGGACAGGTGTACCTAATAAAGTGGCCAGTGAGTGTATGTTTTCTGTAAATCATAATAAACAAAATGCTATGCTTCCAGAAATAAAACATAAACAAGATACAATCTAATATAACAAATATATTGCACTTTTATTGCTTAGAAGCCTAAAAAACCCAACATGTGATCTCATTACAAAATCTTACTGTCATTCATTCATTTTTTTCTTGTCGGCTTAGTCCCTTTATTAATCTGGGGTCACCACAGCGGAACGGACCACCAACTTATCCAGCAAGTTTTTACGCAGCGGATGCCCTTCCAGCTGCAACCCATCTCTGGGAAACATCCACACACACATTCACACACACACTCATACACTACGGACAATTTAGCCTATCCAATTCACCTGTACCGCATGTCTTTGGACTGTGGGGGAAACCAGAGCACCCAGAGGAAACCCACGAGAAGGCAGGGAGAACATGCAAACTCCACACAGGAACGCCAACTGAGCCAAGGTTCGAACCAGCGACCCAGCAACCTTCTTGCTGTGAGGCGTCAGCACTACCTACTGCGCCACTGCCTCGCCCAAAATCGTACTGTTTTACATGTAAACTTTTAATTTAAAAAATGCCACCATGGAGAGCATAAATTTTTTTTAACCCTTTCTCCCAAAAACATTTTAAAATCTTACTGAAGTCTGACTGTTCTGAATGGAAGTATCTCAGTTGCACTTCTTGAATACTGAAATTTGATTCACTGTGTTTGTTTACAAAAAACTGTAACATAAAACGAAATATTTTCTTTTCACGCTTCATGATGTGCAGAGTCTTAACATGCACAAATAAGAGTAACATTTAAGAGATTTTACAATAACAGCACTGACTAACCACTTTGATCATTTGACTTCAGAAGACTTGAAATAAAGCAGTAAATCCAGTAGTTTCACTGGTACCTTTGTGTTAGAATTTTACGCCATGCTTTTATGTAGAATGATTCCAAGTAAAAAAGGGTTATATAATCCATGACTGGATTTTCATTTTTAGACTGAGTACTTCACTAATACTCCGTGGCCAACTAGTTTTACAAACTGATGTATTAACACACACACACACACACACACACACACACACACACACACACACACACTTCTCTTGAAGCAGCTTCTCAGTGTCACCAGCAGATGCATTAGAGTGATGTGGAGAGTTTGGAGTTAGACTCAAGCACACACAACCTTATGAAATGCAATCATTCTTCAAATCTCTGTGTTGGTAACAATTTCCACAACAAAGCTAATGTCCGCAGAAATGAGATCAGACTGTTCTACGTTGATTTATGTTTGACAATAACAAGTTTCAGAATACAATGGTAATTACTAAGAATGAAGGACAGCTTGATAAATTTAGTGGCTTTTGTGGAAATGACAAACATTTCTCCAGAGTGTATGTGCCCTTTGGCTTCAAAGTCCAATATAACTGAACTTCCTGTCTTCACTGAAAATAAACCAGCTAAACACACACACACACACACACACACACACACACACACACACAGACACAGACACAGACACAGACACAGACACAGACACAGACACAACTACTCACCCCGAAACTTTTTAGGTGGGTTATTCAGGTCTCCGGCATCTGGTTGAACAACACATCGGTCATCAACCAACCTGATTAAAACAAAAAAAATAGATTTTGAAGAGATTGTACTTTTTGGCCTGTCTGAGCATCTGTGTGTGTGTTTGAGTGAGTAAACAGAGATGTTCAATTGTAAATGTGTGCTCGTATTTAGCCTTTTTTGGCCCAAAGCAGCAGCTTACTGGACATAATCCAAATTCCTCAACCGGTCAGCCAAAACACACACACACACACACACACACATAGGGTTAAACTGCTGACAGCTGGATATACTTATCCAGACATCAAAGATGACTAATATTTAGCCATAACAAACTACATGCTCTTATTATCTTTAAAAGGCTCACCTACCCAAATATGAAAAATCTATAAACATTTATTTATCTTCATCCTGTTTTACATTTGTTTCTTCATGGAACAGAAACAGAAATGTTTTTTTTTCTCTTCATGTACGTAGCTACTATGCTTGAAAAATGATGAAAAAAAAGTATTTAAAAAACGGTGGTTCACAAGACTTGTACACTCGATTAAAAGTCTTGTGACAGGTTGTTTAATGAAGAATATTAAGCCCTTGTGATTTCCAAAATGTGGAAAACACAGATGAAATTACAGAATCCATTCATTTAAACAAAATGTGTTGTATAAAGTCACAGAATTTAGCAAAATTTGAATGATTAAATCAAAGTTATAATTGTAAACCTTATACACAATTATGTGAAACAGCAATTTGCAAAAAACTGTCATGTCAAGAACACACAGAAACTTTGTAAAGATCATAAAATAAATAGAATATATCACTATTGTACAACTGAATGCACTTCTTGAAGTAACAATAATAATAATAACACAATAATAAAAATAAAAAATAATAATAAAATTAATAATAATAATAGTGATATTAACAACAACAACAACAATAATAATAATAATAATAATAATAATACAAATAATAATATTAATAATAATAATAATAATAGTGATATTAATAATAATAATAATAATAATAATAATAATAATAATTGCACCAAAAATAATTATAATAATTATAATTCAAAAGGGACTAAACTGAAAAGAAAAATGAATTAATTAATTAATTATAATTCATTTTTTAAGAATAATTTAACAATTACACACCCATTCCATGTTTTAAATTTAACAGGAATATAATGAAATTTAAAAAAACGTAAAATTTATATTAAGTTAATAATAAATGTTTATTTTTCATTTCATGTTATTAATTTAGACATATGTTGATTACATATGTTGATTACTGTTGATTAAAATGGTGTCCAAAAAAATTTAACAGAATTGACAAAAATAAAGAACAAAACATTTTGGGGAAAATAATAATAAATATTATTATTTATAATAATAATAATAATAATAATAATAATAATAATAATAATAATAAATAACAATTAAATTATTATTAATTAATAATTATTATTTCATAGATCCCTATCTGCTTTTTAAGTGTGATGTCACCTGAAGCGGCTTCCGAGTCCAAACGCTCTATCAAATTGTATTGGGAGACTCAACAAATGGTAATAATAAACAATTACAAAGAGTTTTGAAAATCACGATCGCAATATGTATATCCATGCCTAATATATGATGGCCAGAAAGTAATGAATTTCTTATAAATTGTTAAAATATTGGTGTCTGTGATGCAGCAAGTCCAGAGACTGTCATAAACGTATATTTTCTCAATTCGAATAGTAGTGGCTTGGACCCAGAAACAGTATTTCATACCTGACGACTTAACAAGCGGATACGAAGAACATAATAATAATTTATTTTAGAAAAAAAAAACTTTTAAAATATTACATGCTAGCCATTCTCTGTGTGTTGTATGCATGTACTTTAGATCAAAAGAGTGAATAAATGACGACAAACTTTTCTGCATAAACAATTCCTTTAAGATTGTTGCCAGCTGAAAACATAAGGAGGTTACGGTTGAAGAACTACAGGGGGAAAAGGGCACAGACTTCTCACACATGAGCTGCTTCATCTTGTTAATCATTTATTTGCTGGAACAATCACTCTTGGATCAGTTTTCAATTACTATTTATGCCCTTGTGATTTCAAAACATTCCAAAATATTAATACAGGCAGTATCATTCAACTCACCCCAGAGTGCTGATGAAGCCACTAGTAGAGCCTTCAGCATAAAGGGAACAAACGTCCCCAATGTGCAGGAAACTAGACAATTTGTCCACCATGGCAAAAACTCCAGCACCTGCAAAGGTCAGAGGTCAAAGAGTCAAGGCAAGGTCTGCGTGTGCAAGTTTATCATTAAACAAACAAGCCGGACTAGAACCACAAAAACAACAAAGAAGTGTACAAAGAAGTGTCACTAAAGCATAGGTCTCCTGGAGGGCCGCAGCTCTGCACAGTTTTGCACTAATCGTGATCAAACACAGCTCATCCAACTAATGAATGTGATTTGTTTTGAACACTTTGATTATTTGGATCAGCTGTGTTTGATAAGGGTTGAAGCAAAACTGTGCAGAGCTGCGGCCCTCCAGGAATTAAGTTTGAAAGCTATTCACCTTATTCTCCGCCGACGAGTGGGCGCTGCCATTTGAATCTTTTTGTCTCGCGACTTCCGGTCACATTCACTTCCATTCCTTTTTTGACGTTAACAACTGCTCGTTACGCTGCTTGATGTTGCAATTTAATATTTTCTTATTATATTATGCTACTTGGTCTGTGTAGTCATGCAAACATTTGTTTGTTGAGCAAGTAGTTTGACCATTTTCTGCCGTTTACTATTCCTAGTCATTTCTCCCATAGGCGACTGAATCGGAAGTTCTAAGACAATCGCGAAAACAGGCGCACTTCCGCATTTTAGAATAAGGTCAATACACTTAAGGGAACGATGAAGGAAGCAGAGCTGGGCCGAAAAACTATTTTATATCAAATCATGATAATATTTATATCAATAACAATGATGTACTCTGGACTTTTTTACTCTATATTGATCTAAGAGCCAATCACACAGCAGAAATGTGCAACAATGAGAATCTAAAAGTGTGTTGATATTAGAGATGAACCAAATCCATCGAAAATTTAATGGCCGAAAATATGTTATGCCATTTAATGGAGCCTCTAACTTTTGTGGCTTCAGTCATCGTTGGGATACTCTTTTAAATATGGAAGCAGCAACTTATATAGAAATTTATATTGTTATCGTTCAATTTTAAAATAATAATCAAAACTGCATTTTTGCAATAATGCCCAGTGCTAATAGGAAGTCATTTGTACCAACAGTGATCAGACTGTATAACCCAATGGCAGACTTAGGCATGGGCAATATGGGCGATCGCCCAGGGCGGCATCTTGTTGAAGGCGGCACAGGGAGATAAGAAAACGTGTCCCAGTAAAAGCTTTGAGATATAATTTACTTTATGATTGTTACTTAATTTTTAAAGATTTATTTTAAGTGTATAGAGTGGTTATCCCAGAATAAAGATGCATGGGCTACTCACATTTGGCGTCCTTTGCACAAGCAAGTTTGTTATTCTTTATGTGCAACCGAAACAACGCTGGTGAAAACAAATTGAACCATATGCACAGAAAGCCATTCCTGCATGCTTCACATGCGCTGATCCTTATTCCAGTTCTTTATAATATGCGCCAAGATGCAAGTCGACAAAGTTTATATAATATGATGATGATGTTACTTTGACTAAGCATGGCTATGAAGCAGAAAGGAAGAAAAATGTCAGGGAGGTTTCTAAGTCTACATAACATTAATTCTCGGCCATGAGTCAGGTCTAAGACAACAGATAATTCTATAAAACATATATATTTTTTGTAATCTATAGAACTGTTAAAATATTTATGCAAAAGTCTTAGAGTATTACTCCAGTTGTGTCTTTACGTTGTTTTTCAGTTACATTTAAAATTGATTTCTGTTATTTAATAATAATAATAATAATAATAATAATTTAATAACAAATTGTTATTTTTATTCAAAATAAATAAATATATTTAAATGTGTTTATAATAAATATTTTAAATATATAAAGTCAACCACATAATGTCGTTATTTCTTGGGGGATGGGCGAAGGGGATGTTTGGGGTGGTTTTGCCTAGGGTGCCATTTAAATTAGAACCGACAGTGGTATAACCAAAGTCATACTAGATGATTCATTCATTCATTTTCTTTTCGACTGTGAGAAAAGAAAATGAACCGCCAACTTATCCAGTGAGGCGACAGCACTAACTACTGCGCCACTGTGTCGTCCCATACTGGATGAATTATGCAGAATTGTAAAAGCATTAATACTGTATACAGTGACTAGTGTCTACTCGTTGTTTGAAACTAAGGTGTGCAGTATGAATGTAATTAAATTTTATATGTGTAATTTACTTTATTTATTTTATAGCATGGAGAGCTCTGCTGTGATGTGAATTTCCCTTTGGCATTAATAAGATCTAAACAAACAACAAATACAGGATATAATGCAAAAACAGAACAGTTTTAAGTATTATTTACAAAAAAAGCATGTAAAAATATAACTTAAAACAAATTTTTGCATAAAAACTGAATTTCCTTGTCTGAGGTCTTCAAAGACTGCATAATCTGGCCTAAAACCACAAGTGGGGCACAGCATGAACTAAATAATGGCATGTGATAACCTATGATGTGAAGCAAGACAAGTTAGCTGAGGTCTCGATCTTAAATTTGATCTTTATTCAATTATTGTGAAACCTGAATGCCCATTTAAAGTGCTCTGCATTAATGAGTACACCCCATTTGAAAATGAATATTTTGATCCATTTCTCTGTGAATATGGGTAATATATTGATGCATTTGAACAAAACAGATTTATTAAACAGATATACTTATTAAAATAATACTTTAGTCACAGAACATCTTTGGAAATGGAAAGATAATACATTTAAATTCATGCTAAATATTGTAAAAACTAATTAAAAACTACAACATTTTAACAACATTTTATATATTTTTTTGCTTCTCTTGATTTTTACTATTTTTGAAAATTTTATTTAATATTTTTCCCTAACATTAATGTTTGGGCTACTAATTTTTGAACCATTATGGTAAATTATTTTATTAGATTAGCTCCAGATTTGGCTCCAGCACTGACTAATCTAATGTATATGCACAAATATAATATTGTGGAGCACCCTATAGAAAATACTAATTTAAAAGATTGATTTGTGAGGGGTGTTCTTAAATATGCTGAGCACTGTATATATAATATTGCATAATTCTTATATTGAATAGCCTTCTCAAATTAGCGGTTCAAAATCTTTCCAAAATCAAATTCTTTTACTTAGGTCCGATAACAAAACAGTTGCAAATAACAAGTTAACAAGTTATTCATTAACTTAACTGACTGGACAGCAGAGTTTAGTGCATTGGAACGGCATGCTAAACATATGCATCCAGTGTTTGTTTACAACTGTAAAAACATGCTAATTTTAATGCATCTATAAATACAAAAGGAAGACAAAATGCATTCTAATTTTAAATTCACACTTGTATCATTCACACCAGTCCAGAATTGTTTTGTTAACTTAATACAGAAGCAAAAAATACAACACAGAATTGATTTATGTTGATTATATTAGGGCTGTATGATATTGAAAAAAAACAGGACATTGCGATATTGTAGTTTCCTGCGATATATTCCGCTATACTATATCTATAGAGTTTCATCAAATGATTGAATAGATTATCTAGAAAGAATTTATGGTCACACTTTACCTTAAGGTTCAATTCTCGCTATTAGCAGACCATTAAATATGACTTTTGATTAAATAAACTCCTAATTTGCTCCTTATTATTAGATGTTAAGGTAGTTTAGATATTGGGTTAGGGATGTACAATAAGGGAGGTCATATGATGCAGGCATCGAAGCAGGACATGTGTGGGTGAACTCCGGGTGTGCGTCAGCAGTTGCTACTATTTTACAAGTAATAATTTATCATTAACTGTATCACATGTTCTCTCAGATATATATTTTTTCTTTACTCTGAGGAAATTTTTCAACTTTCAGCATGAGAAACTCAATATAACGATGTGCCGACAGCTCCCTGATACCCAGAAAGATGGAGGCTGTACAAGAAAAGCTATCACTTAAATCTCTCAGGAAAGTGCTTCGTGATTCTAACGACGCTCGTACCTCTCACATAAATAAAAACAACCGACATCCTAAGTTATTTGTCCAAAATTGATCTGTCACTTTCAACTCTAGCTGAGCATGCTCAACGAAATGCAGGTCAGGATTGGTGCTAACAAGGACGATTTGAGAGACTCCTGCATGCAAATTGTAAAGATGGAAAAGGAGATAACCTTTCTAAAAGGAATGCAGAATAAGATCATGAAGAATATGTAGATTATAAGCCAATATCTCAAAAACATGCATGCTAAAAAACAACTAGCTAATAGTGTGAATTGGTCACTAAAGTGTTACTGAATGTATTAATTTTGATTGATTGGGACGATTCTGTAGGGGAGTGAATCATGTATTAATTGTTATAAACGCCTACAAAGTTAAATAAACAGTGATGCTTTATGGTTTTGTATATTTAAATGTAAAAAATACACTGCAAAGTCAACTCAAAATTGCATATCTTGCGATGTGATTATTGCAGATACACACATTGCGATATCGATGCTGAAACGGTATATTGTGCAGTGTCAGACTATATTGTCATTAAGTGTCAACAACATATATGCAAATTATATCAAAAACAAAATACTGTGTGAAGAGCTTAATTTGTTCATTCCCAGATGCTCTTATTTTTTCAGTTAGCAACTTTGAAATATGTAAATGATTTTAAACAGCGGCAGAAACAGATACCATTTCTGACACCTGTATTGATTGTTTTATAACTACAAAAGACATTTTCTTATGGGAAGAAACAACTATGCTCGGTAATTTTTTTATGTGTGCACCTTGTAATGTCATCATGTCCTGTTTTGGTTCATTAAGATGTTTTTGGTCCGTGTTCCATTCACATTGCAGTCGAATCACACTAGAGCTTGGTTAGAAGTAGACAAAGACCAATCTTTTCAGATGTCTCAGCCAACCTGTTGTGTTGGACACAAAAATTCCGTTTAATGTAAAGTCAGTTATGGATAAACTTGTTAATTCATTTCACCGCTGGATACAGAATGTTAAGGAATGCATATTATCCACTTCTCGGATACACAAAGAGCATTTATAAAGGTATCTACACGTTATGTAGTGTTTGTGAGGGGGTTTTTAAAATATGTTATTATAAAGCGGTTGTTTTTCTATTGTGATTCTCATCCGCTTACATTGAGCGCTCCTGCATTTGTCCACAAACATGGCTGACCGCAATTTGCTGTGACTTAGATGTTCCCGAGCTCTATTAAGTGTTGCAAACTTTATGACTTTAAGGATTAGTTTAGCCAAAAATGGAAATTCTGTTATTAATTACTCACCCTCATATCATTCCAAACCCCCCGAGACATTTATTAACCTTTAAAACACATATGAAGATATTTTACATTAAATCTGAGAGCTCTCCTGTCCTCCATAGACAACAAGAGTCCAGACATTCAAAGCCAGAAAAATACCAAAAAACATCGTTAAAACAGACCATATGCCTTCTGTGGTTCAGTATAATTTTGTATGCAGATAAAACAAACATAATGTATTCATTCGTCAGTTTGGTTTTAGGTGTGCATAAAACTATTCTCGTAGGTTAATATTCAGTTTGAACCGCTGAACATGGACTGTTTTGAAGATGTTCTCTGGTTATTATTTGTACTTTAAACAAGTTGGGAACCTTGCTGTCTATGGAGGATGAGGGAGCTCTCAGGCCTAATTTTCACTGATGCGTTTTAGAATGAAAACGATCCACGTCCCCACTGGAGTTTCACCTAGCATTTCTGAAAAGATATCTGTTCACACAACATCACTGAAAATGCACATCATGTGACCAAACACACACTCTGGCATGCGCTGTAGTGTATGCGAACGCCTGAGCTACAGGCAGTCAACGGGTGCTTTGAGCACACCTACCCAGGTGAGAGCAGCAGATGTCAGACAGTTCATCAAGGATCTACCACTGGATCTCATCTTGGTTGTTAAAAGTGATATTGAATTTATCTTGATAGTAAAACAACATAAACAATGTGATGAGAATGAGGGTATAAAGTACACTGTTCCCTTTGAAGATTTACCCGACCTGTCCTCAGAAGTTTATTTTCCATATCAAACTTGCAAAGTCTGAACTTAAGGAAAGTATTTAAGACTGAACTTTGTGTACTTAATATTGAGAAAAGCCCCAATCAGATGTCTGCAGCCACGCTTCTTTTTCAGATGTCTCTGCATTCCCCCATCAACACACTGACACAGAGCAGCAGTGTTTTGAAACCAGCATTTCCAAAACGCTTCATTTTTTGGGCTCGAAAACTCCGGGGTAATGTGGACAGAAGGCGTACCCGTAGCAAAACATGCATTTTAAAACTAAAACGTATTAATGTAAACTGGGGCCTCAGACTTCATCTAAAATATCTTAATTTGTGTTCTAAAGTTAAACAAAGGTCTCAAAAGCCCCTTTCACACATACAGACCTTTCCGGAAAATTGCCGGCAATTTTCCGGAAAGGTTGTATGTGTGAACAGGTCCTTTTTGAAAATACCGGTAAATTCGTTCTGGCTATTTTCCGGAAAGAGAAGTTGTAACATTACCGACAATTTGCCGGAATGCTGCGCTGTGTGAACGCAGAAGGAAGATTCCCGTAATAAGCGAGTGCACGTCTAGAACGTGCTGCCGTGAGACGTCTGCTTTAGCCAATCACAACAGTCAGACGCATTTACGTCCGCGCGGTTTGTAAGAATAAATACCTTTGAATATTTTTCCAGACACATTTAGCTGCTAGAAGTTAGTCAGATCACGTTTATATGTTCTTCTTTATGCCAACTGTGTAAATAATCATCGATGAGATGCTTATGATAAGCCGTTGTTTGTTTACCTTTTAGCTTTGCGTGTGCCTTTGAAACAGCCTGTGAGCGCCTGCACACGCACATATTATGAACATCTCGACATGAGAAAGTGATCCTGCGAAAGTTGTTCACAATATTGATCATCCAGAGTTTGTAATTTAGTCAAATGTTTACAAATACAAGCGCAGCCGTTTAAAGCTCATTTGTGGTGAATGGTGTCAGAATTTACCGGTATTTTGGTATGGATATGTGTGAATGCTCTTTTCCGGAAAATTTCCGTAACGTCCTCGCCTGTGTGAACAGCGCTTTTTTGAATATACCGGTAAAGTCGTTCCGGAAATTTTCCAGATATTTACCGGTATCACTGTGTGAAAGGGGCTAATGGTTTTGGAATGACATGAAAGTGAGTAATTAACAACATAATTTTCTTTTTTGGGTGAACTCATTCATTCATTTTCCTTCAGCTATTCATCAGGAGTCGCCACGGCGGAATCAACTACTAACTTATTCAGCATATGTTTTACACAACGGATGCCCTTTCAGCTGCAATCCAGTACTGGGAAACACCCATACACTCTCTCACATAGCTACACTACGGCCAATTTAGCTGATTCATTTCACCTATAGCGCATGTCTTTGGACTGTGCGGGAAACCGAAACACCGGTAGCAAACCTACGTGAACACAGGGAGAACATGCAAGATCTACACAGAAATGCCAACTGACGCAGACAGGACTCGAACCAGCGACCTTCTTGCTCTGAGCTGGCAGTACTAACCACTGAGCCTTTTGGGTGAACTAACCCTTTAAATTCTACACTATATCTATCACTGTAAAAAATGTGGGTCACTCAACATTTAAGATATTTTGACATGGCAATCTAGTGCAAAACATAAATGAACATGACAAGAAAAAGCTCTGAACGTTTTTTAGGATGACTGTAACAGTTCCATGTAACTCGTTTGACGCTTGTATCCTCACCACAGATTCTTCCTGTAACTTGATTTGATTAACAAATGATTAGCCAACCAAACCGTTAATACGCAGAGACACACAGAGGGAGAGAGAGAGAGAGAGAGAGAGAGAGAGAGAGAGAGAGAGCGCGGAGGAGGGATTTGCATGCGAGTAGTCTTCAATTCATCTGCATACAAAAGAAAAAACGTTGCACATATTACATTAAAACTATACATTTGTTACTTGTTGTTTTTGCATGTAGCTTCTTATAATGCTGTTGTAGTTGTAACTGTCCCTTATTGAGCAACAACTGAATCTTCCTTCAGCAAATAAACTAATTATATCCTCGTGTCAACAATGTCAAAGCGTAAAAAGACAGTAATGAGAGTAAGCTGCGATGCATTAACTATACAGGAAACAGTCGTTTTAGAAACTCAGGGCACCAGACCCTTCCTTAACTTCTTTAATACTATGTTTTGAAGCATTGCCATAAAACAAGAAGAAACCCATCACCCGTGAACAGTTGACACACTTGTGTCGTCCTCGCCGACTTTGTATCTTTTTCTTCATCTTTCTGTAGGCGACTTTCTCACGGCAGCTTTTCTAACCTAGGGGCGGGTTCAGATCAGCGGGGCGCGCGCGATGCTCTCCCGCAGATAACATAAATATTTAATAAAGCATGTTTCCTCAACACAACTTCTAGTAGTCCGGTTATAGTTGTGTAGCTAAGATCTCACCTCTCTCCGACGAAGCTGGGGCAATAGTGTCGGTATTTTCCCAAACGTTGCGTCCACTGTTTGAGAAAGTTATTATCCCGACTCTTCATCAAGTCCAGCAGCGGTCCATCGCCCCGATGATGTTCGTCTCTTTTCGGCTTGCCGAGTGACTCTGTCTGCAGCGGAGTTCAAGGGGTTTCTGGGAAATAGTGTTTCAGCGGTGCCGCGCCTCACGGCTACTTTAATAATCTGCGATATTAAAGAACTACAAGACCCAGAAATTCCCCATTGAATGAAAGAAATTATTTTATTTATTTATTTATTTTTGTGTGTGTGTGTGAACAGTTTGCAGAGAGAGACCACAAGAGAAACTGCTTTCACTTATAGCAAATAAGCAAAAATATGCGGATGGGGAGTCATAGTTCGTTTTGTATTATAAATGCTGATACAATTTCTCTTACTTACATTTTAAATGTGGTGTACTCATTTATATGTGCTATAAATGTCCTCAGAATATTAGATTTCTGACAAGTGTACTCTGTCAAATTGATTCAAGAGTGAGTTCTTAATATAAAGTGGTACACAAAATTGTTTCTTAAATAGGCTACAGAACAGAAAAAATCATTCATTTTCCTTCGCCTTTATTAATTAGGAGTCACCACAGCAGAATGAACCTCCAATTTATCCAGCATATGTTTTACACAGCAATGCCCTTCCAGCTGCAACCCAGTACTGGGAAACATCCATACACACTCATTCACACACAGAACTGTTGCAAACAGTATATTTGTGTTGAATTTAAACAAATTAAATTTTATAATGTTCAGCTTAATTTGTTTGTTTAGAATTCAGCCCAAATAAACTGTTTACAACCACTTAACATAAAAAAATGTGTAAATTCGAGGAATCATCTTTGAATATTTTTTTTTCAGTGTACAGCCAATTTAGTTTGCCGCATGTCTTTGGACTTGTGAGGGAAACCGGAGCATCTGGAGAAACCCAAGCGAACATGGGGAGAACATGCAAACTCCACACAGAAATGCCAACTGATCCAGCTTGGACTCGAACCAGTGACCTTCATGCTGTGAGGCAACAGTGCTAACCACTGAGCCACCATGTTGCCTGAACAAAAAAATCATTTTATCATCTTAGACTGAGTGCATTTTTGGATTCAGTGATCATCCTACGACTGTCTGTTGAAGTTTACTTGTAGACAAATTGATTCAGAATTATTTTATTTTATTTATTTTATTTAGATACTTGAAAAGAAACGTAAAGACATTGTGAATTCTTATCAAAGTTAAGTCATTATGTGGTAACAGAGAAGGACTCAAAGATTTTGATGTATACAGACTATGTCAAAACAGCTAAATTATAGGACATTTTTGGTATTAAATATTCCTAATAATAAATCTTTTCTATCTAATATTTAAATTTAAACAAATACTCAAAGTCTATTGGTGGTTAATTAAAAATGAAAGATTAAAAATAATCAGAAATCATTATTATTACACAGATGGTTTCAGGCGAATTGGGACAGTGCAACTGGTAAAGTATGACACTAATTTATGAGGATCATATTTTGATAACCTGCTAACTTGTAAAATACATTCACAAAGGTCACAGAAATGTTTTCTAAAATACAAAACAGAGAAGTTTAGACATTGACAGAGTAAATTTAGACCATTCTGTGTAAAATATAGAGAGGAACTACAGCCCAACACATTTAATTTAGCTCTGATATTTACTGTCTGATTCTGTAACTCTGTTATATTGTGTTTTACTATACATTAAACCAAAAACATTTCTGAAATATATAAGACATTTAAAAGAGATAACTAAAGAGATAGTTCATCCAAAATAAATAAAAACTCTGTCGTCATTTCCTGCACACCTTACACTAGTTTTAAAACTGTAGCAGTCTGTCTTTATTCTACTGAACACAAAAGAAGATATTTTAAATATTTTTGAATATTGGCAACCAAACCATTGATGGTGCAGTCCACATTTACTGCTGTATTGTTTATATTTTTTGCCCTATATGGTAGTCAGCGGGGTCAATCAACTTTTTGGTTTTATTCTTCAAAATGTTATAATTTTGTATTTAGCAAAAAGAAAGAAAATAAAACTCATCCAAGTTTGAAACAACTTGGGGATGAGTAAATAGTGTGCACATTTTCATTTTTGAGAGAACTACCCCTTTAATTTAAAATACAGTCTGTCCTAAATCATACTTTAAAATGTATGAATGAATTGAATGCACAATTAACAATAAGAAAAACAAAATTCTTACAATAAATATTAATGTGTATCTAAAAAATGTATGTCTTGAACAGAGGCGAACTTAACCAATAAGCGAGGTAAGCAGCCGCTTAGGGTCCAGGGGAAGTAGGGGACTCCAACCAATGACGAGAAGCCTATTAATCATATAGCTCCTTTATACATTTTCTATCATATGTTGTGAAATCTTTCTTCAACCATAAAAGATTTTAATTGTATTACTTCATTTCAAAACCGGGGGCCCACATGAATATGGAACGTTCCATCAATACTGCACATGCAAATATTGAAATCTAACCACAAACATGGCCAATTAACTGTACATGCTTGTTTTTATTTGTGGATTTATCTTTACATTAAGAAAATAAAGATTGCAAATATTTTTTTTTTTACAAAACAACCACAACAACAGAACAAATCTACAGAGAAAAATATCTATAGAGACAGAGAATGCTTTGAGTAAATGCTTGGGCCCCCTACCAGGATATGCTTAGTGCCCCCGAATCGCGCAATATGCTAACCGCGGTAAAGTTAGTTTGATTTTTGACATTCGTTAGACATTCGATTTCAAATTAATTAAACTCTTTGTTCCTGCTATACTTTGGGCCAAAAATAGGTCAAATAGGCATAAATATGTGCCCTTTATGTTGCACAAGCCTTAATTTCTTGATTGAAAAAAAAATCACCATAAGAATGAATTAAACAATTCACCCATATGGATTTATACATTAAGACTAGTACCAGAATATTCAGAAAAACATCCTGCACATTGCACAAGACTCAGTTTTTGGATTTAGCACTCTATTTGTTTTATAATAATTTTTAAATAACTTTTTTTTTAAAAATTGCAAAATTCAATTAAACTCCGACACTATTTGAGATAAAATATTCCAATAAACTCTAAAAGTTTCAGAATATTATTCAGTATGATGCACAAGCTTTGTTTTTTACATTTATGCCTTTGTTGATTTTATATACAGTATTGAATCCATATTTTATGTATATCGATTATGTATATACTAATCAGATTCTCCCAGTGTAAATTTTAATGTGGAGTAGTGTGCTATGAAGCTGTAATGTCGCCCTAATTCCTAACCCTAACCTCAGAACCATTCAAATACAGCGTTGGTAGCATAATCTGATGAGTAGGATAAAATGTCAGAACACCTGCCCCTGGTCCTGAAGAAGTGGACCTGTGTTTCTCAACTGCACTTCCACAGACTCCTCCTGGCGCGCTCACGGCAATGTGGACGAGCACAAACAGCGACCTCTAGTCACAGATTCCTGCATTTCTTTTCAGAACTGAACAAATAATTAATTGTGACTAAAGCAAACGCTACACGCTAGCAGAGTTGCTGAGATAAATGCAGACGCATACTTTAAACCCGTTAAATTGAGTAATACTCAATTTAATGAAATACTTCATTAAAGTGAAGTAGCCTACTCTAGTGTGTGTCTGCTCTGCTCTGCTCCTACACACATGTCAGCTGACTGATCACATGACCGTTTTCGGACGTGCGGATCAACATGACGAGCTGAGGCTCATGGCTATGGCACCGGTGTTGAATATTTGCGTGGTTTTATTTTTCAGCATTTTAGCAGTGAGTTCCGATGTAGGCGATATTGTGCAGGAGCAGAGGTCGGAGTCCCCGGAGTCGCAAGGCACAGATTGTGGTTGTCAGGGACTGAAGAGAGAAGTTTCTGTTGGTGTAAGCGATGTAAACACACTGGATCATCACGATGATGCAAATATTTACTCCAAAACAGCGAACGAGGGTCCAGACAAGACTGAGTCTGATGTACGCAGTAAGGTATGTTTGCTGTTGTCACTTTTGACGAGTAGCTAGTGTTGTTTAGTTTGGTCATTTACTGTCTTCTGTGAGCAAAAAATAAATAAATAGTAAGAGCTCACTTTTCAGTTGAATTCATTTCAGAAATTAGCAGTTAATCAGAGTAAATTGTTCATTTTATTTTATTGTTGTTTCATGATTTTTTCTTCTGTGAATCTTCAAAAATGAAAGAAAACCAATGCAAAAGTAATTATTTAGATTTAAAACTTGACATTTAGGTTGACATCTGTGATCATAATCATTACGTTATATGAACATGAACAACATGTTAATTCTGACTTTATTAGGCAGGGAAGAAATAATGTTATATAATAAAAGGAAGTGATGATGAAAACACATTTTTTTAATTAACTATTGACTTGTACACAAAAGCTGAATGTTGTGTGTGTGTGTGTGTGTGTGTGTGTGTGTGTGTGTGTGTGTGTGTAGCTGGTGCTGCTGCAGGGAGGTTGGTTTTTGATGGGAACAGATGATCCAGGAATACCACAGGATGGAGAAGGACCTCAGAGGAAAGTGAAGCTGGATGCTTTTTACATTGAAGAGCATGAAGTCACAAACCAGCAGTTCCAGCACTTCACCAACCAGACCGGTTACATAACGGAGGTAAATAACCCTTTACACGGCTATACGACAAATTATCAGTACACCAACTCTCTCTCAATATTATATATATATATATATATTTTTTATGATTATTATTTTTTCATCTAGGCTGAGCGTTTTGGAGATTCCTTTGTTTTTGAGGGACTGTTGAGTGAAGAAGTGAAGAGCACACTGTCACATGCGGTGAGAAATGTGTACACATGCAATAATGACCCACTGCTTGCTGCTGGATAAATTGTATACTGTGTGGATCAAAGAAGAAATGAATTCAAACATCAAATATTTCAAATGTAAAACAGCTTTGCATTGAGTTTTTTTCCCTCTGTGCAGAATACGTCCTGTTTATTTAGTGTATTTTAACTGAGCAAAACAATTTTACACAATACACCTTCCAAATGTCATTCATTGTCATAGTTTACATAACAAATAATCTTGTCAAGCAAATTTAATCAAGAAACATTTGGTGACATTAAAATACTCTATTTAAAGTAGATTTGTGTACTTTAAAGAAAATAACGTTGAATAAAAGGTAATGATGACTAATTAAATAACATAAAACATACACATTTGTTACATTTCTATAGTTTACACCTAAAAACTTAGTTCTCTTTGCCAATAGTACTCTATTTATTTTTAAAGTGTATATAAACATAAAGGCCATTACAAAAGGTCCCAGAATGATGAAGAGAAAAGAGAAATGTCTAATTAAAATGTAAACTATCTGTATAAATTAAATTAAATTAAGTGGGACCAGGGAAGACTATCTTGGAAATAACCAATATAAAGTCGCAGTGTTGCATAAAAAGTAAGATATTAAAATTTGAAGCCTATCTTACTCTTAAAAAAAAGTTACAATGCAAAAATAACACACTTGCACATTACTTTCCTTAAAAAGTAGCTTAGTATCTTATGCTGGAAATCCTCCACAGCACCATCTGTGACAGCCTGGTTTGAAGATGTGATGTCTTTTCTAAAACTAGAAAAGATTAAACACACTAATGGAAAGGTTTTAAACGTAATTCTAAAAGAATTACCCTGCTGTTAAAAAAATCTGTATATCTCTTTCTATCCCTTTCCGGTATATTTTTTGGTCTTTAATGTAGTTTGTCCTGCCATTTTTTTATTTAATTATTTTTCTTTACCGGTTATTTGTAATTGTTTTTTATTTCTTCTTTCCATTATCACTGTTAAGGCACAACATGCATGACTTTAGACTTTACTTTAATTATTGTATTTGACCCTAATTATTGTGTTAAGCTGCCTTGGGATGTTCAGGTCTTGGCTCTTGGGGTGGGATTTGGGTAAAAACAAAAAGAAATTAGAAAGAAGGAAACTAATGTTTATTGTTGTATTACTGTATATGAAAACGTTACTTTCCTTCATTTAGTTACACACTTAGCTACTTTTTTTTTAAAGTGACTTTAGATTGCTGCATGAGCTCTTCTTTCATAAAGAGGTTAATTTCCAAATATAGCTAAGAATAGACCAAATGTGCATTTATAAAAAAAACAAAGCTGCACTACAGTGTCTGTGTGTGTCAGTAGGTGGCTGCTGCTCCTTGGTGGTCACCAGTGAAAGGTGCAGACTGGAGACACCCAGAAGGACCAGATTCAACCATACACAATAGGTAAACGCATAGAAATGAGCAAGCAGTAATTATTCTGTATAATCAGATGATGTTTATTAGAGCTGCACAATATATGGTTTCAGCATCGATATTGCAGTGTGTGCATTCGCAGTAGACACATCGCAGCATCTTCAATATGGAGTTAGGACTATTATTGTTGATCAGCAATGAAGATTGTACAGAGTTTACATTTTACATTACATTTAATAATAGAGGCAGACCAAAATAGCGATATGCATGAGGTGGCACTTCTTGTAATGGTGGATTGAAGTGTATTAATGTTGCAATTCTTAGAAATATGTGCTGTTAATAAAATAAATACATCTTATACCTTATTGCAACATTTTAACCTCTTTATTTACAAATATCATGATATATTGTGGATGGTTTTCTATATCACTGATATCGTGATCTATCATCATCGGGGGCAAAGTATCGTGTTACTGTACCGAAAAATCCAACTTATTTCACTTTTATCTTTACTCTATCTTATTTATTTATGCTTGCAATTTGTTTTGATACACTCCTCGAAAAGATTATTCCAATCGATTTAAATTGATTTAATTCCAAATAGAGCTATTCAAGTCGTCTGCCAAAATTGTGGTCATATCGCAATATAAATCGCAGCAAAATAAAATATTGCAATGTCAGATTTTTCCAATATCATGCAGCCCTAATGTTTATCCAGGTCATATACAGTACATACCAGTAAAAGTAATGTTATTAAATGTAATCTGTGCTTTTATAACCAGGATGAATCACCCTGCTCTGCATGTTTCATGGGATGATGCACGGGCGTACTGTCAATGGGCCAAACGCAGACTTCCTACAGAAGCTGAATGGGAGTTGGCCTGTAGAGGAGGACTACAGGACAGGTGCATTAGTGTCTATGTTTTATTACTTCTTGTCTACTTTAATGTGTTTTTTAAGGTATTCTCTTTATAACTCTTTTGATAGGATGTACCCATGGGGAAATAAATTAATGCCAAGAGGGCAGCACTATGCTAACCTGTGGCAGGGAGATTTCCCTAATCACAACACTGCAGAGGACGGCTATGCCAACACATCCCCGGTAATACAACAGAAAGAAATAACATTTGTAGCCATTGTGCTGGGTAGTAATTGATTATATGTAATCTTGACTGTGTAATCGGATTTCAAAAATATCCATCAATTGTAATCAGATTTGTATTACTTTTTAAAATGGAAACAGAATCGGCACGGTGCCACTTTAGCTCTCAAAAGACAATTTTATTAGAAAATGTTTCGATTTATAAGGTCTTTATCAGGTTTAGCTGTCTTTTAAGAGCAAGAGTGGCAGTGTGCTGATTATGTTTACTTCTGTCTTTAGTTAGTTTGGCTTGATCAAACACCTGCTTTCAATATTTTCTTTAGATGTGAGCACACTGATTTCTTTTTCCCTACTTTTTAAAATAATCTGATCACGGTTACTTTTTCTGTGAATTACATGATAAATGAAAGCAATCTGAAAATAATCCAAAAGCACTTATAATACATTACCTAAAATAAGTTATTTAGATTTCAGCTTGAACTACAGTTTTTATAATGTAATCTTATGAAGACTATAAATATTAAAAAATCTAGCCAGTGAAAGGTCCAGCCAGTTGGTCCATGACAGTGTCTACTGGTGAATGAAGGTTCAGTACGTGTTCGGTCTTTCCAGTGCACAATGTTGAATTAGTTTCAATTTAACTCATATCTGACTCCAATTTTAGTATGAGGTGGTTCAGAATATTAATATTTCTGTCTTCGTTTTATCTCACTCTAATCCTAAAAAATTAAGAAGCTTATTGTAAAATTTAATCTTGTTTTCCACTTGTTCATTCGGATTTCTGTAACATCCTGAGTTACCGGCCGAGTAAACAATCTCTTAAACACAAGCATGTCAGTCTTGGTCACTAAACAGAGGCGATTAACCACTGATCTAAAAAGGCAGAACCCTACGTACTCAGATTAGAATATTTTTTGTGGTGTCCCCATAGAACTGCTGTCTACTAAAATTGAAGCAAAACTATTTAATCATACCTTGATCATTACAATAAATCAAGCAGACCAATTTACTTAAACTATTAGTAACTTTAAATAATCACCATATGATTTAAATAGTATTATAAGTTTAGAGATGAAGGCCTACCCACATTTAGATTTGGTCTATTATTAGCCTTTTACAGTCCAAGTATACTTGAATTAATGCCAATGTGTTAGTCGGAGTTCTTAAAACATCTTATAGCGTGCTAGGCTGCTCCATCTATTGTATTAGCATTAATTCAAGTATATGAAGAAATAATATTAATATTCTAAACCACCTCATGCTAAAATTAGAGTCAGATATGAGTTAAAATTTAAACTAATTCAAGATTCTGTACTGGAAAGACCAAACAAGCAGTAAACTCCACCAGCAGACACAGTGATTTGACTGGCTGGACCTTACACCAGCATCTATTATGTTGTTTTTGTTATAATTTTATTAGAGTGTAGCTCTTTTTTCTGATTTACATCTCAAATCCTGATTATTTTCTTTTATAATTGTAAGCATTTACTGCAGATGTTTAGCATGTAAAAATGTGTTGAACAGGTGATGTCTTTTCCTGCCAACGGCTTTGGCCTGTATGACATGGTGGGAAATGCATGGGAGTGGACGGCAGACTGGTGGACTGTGCATCACAGTGCAGAAGACAAGTTTAACCCTGTAAGGCTCCACTGGGAGAATTAGCAAGCATGCCAACACACACACACACACACACACACACACACAAACACCCAAAAGGTTTGAACTGAATGTTTTTTGATTTTTTAAATAGAAGGGACCAGAATCAGGAACAGACAGAGTCAAGAAAGGAGGATCCTACATGTGCCACAAGGTAAAAGATTCACAAAGCCATTTAACATATGTACCTTAAGGCAGACCATCATGAACAGTTAACATTGAAAAGATTTTGAGAACAAACAGTACATCATCAGTGTCAAATATTGGGATAATTTGGTCATAAATCTAATTATTAGTCTCAATAGTAGGTATGGCCCTGTTTTCAAGAATGTGTCATACTGACCCTAACATTCTAAACCATAAATTGCAGATTTGTTCAAATTTGGTCTGTTTATTTATGCACCAAACTAATTCTACATTTGTTTTTCTTTTCTTTTTCAATATGTAAACGTATTTATTGTCTCTCTTTGTAGTCTTACTGCTACAGATACAGGTGTGCAGCCCGCAGTCAGAACACACCAGACAGTTCAGCCTCGAACTTGGGCTTCCGCTGCGCCTCTGATGTTGATTCATAACTTCAAACTAATCTCACTGTCTTACACTTCATACTAAGAGGAATTTTGTTTTTATGTAAATAAAACCATTTGTAGAAGTTTGGTGTTGCTTATTTCTGTTCTTTTTTTTAACACTCGACAGCTACTTTGTTAGGTACACCTTGCTAGTATTTGGTTTGATCATGGGCTGTGCAATATATCGTTTCAGCATTGCTATCGCAACGCATGCATTCACAATAGTCATACTGCGGGATGTGAAATGTTGAGCTGAGGTTATAGTTGACCAGGCACAACAGTTCAGAACACATGAGAATTGTGGAGTCACTGCAGAGTTTAACCATAACAAAGTGAAAGTTCAGTATTTAAGGTTTGTGACTGTGAGCATTTGAAGAGAGTTTAAAGCATTCAGGCACAAGATTGTATAGAGTTACTGTTGCCTTTGTGTCAACCCAAACAAGTCTGATCATTCTTCTCTGGCATAAACAAGATATTTTCTCCATCACTCACTGGATGTTCTCTTTTTCTGGCCAGTTGTACATGAAAATCCCAGTAGACCTGTATCAACCCAGTTGACATGAACAAGCAATACATGGTGTAACCTAATGAGGGCCTATTATGCAAAAATCACTTCTATAAGAGGTTTATACACAGTAGGGGGGCAACCATGTGTAAATATAGCCTGCCTCTAATGGTAAAAAAAATAATTCCTTCTATTTTTTTATATTCACACTTGATTAAAAAAGTCTGCAGAAACACATTAATTGACATTCTCCCTTTGTTCATGTCATTAGAGAAGGAAAACCCATTCGTGACAATTTCTCCTTTATTAGCATTCCCGAGTGTGAAGCAGCTGTCAGCCGTTAGAGTTTTCACACTGTACGCTGAAGATAATATCAGTGACTTAGAGGCATAATAAATGTGGAGTTTTCAGATGCACAAATGAACACCGAAGTCTCCACAGACTGGTAGTCACCAAAATGGTAGAATTTGGATCAAAGCCTAAAATTTGCAGTTTCAAAGAGTTATAATAAACATACAGTTGTAATCAGAATTATTAGCCCCCCTTTGATTTTTTTTTCTTTTTAAATTTTTCCCAAATAATGTTTAACAGAGCAAGGAAATATTCTCAGTATGTCTTATAATATTTTTTCTTCTGAAGAAAGTCTTATTTGTTTTATTTTGGCTAGAATAAAAACTTTTTAATTTTTAAAAGCCATTTTAAGGGCAAAATTATTAGCCCCTTTAAGCTATTTTTTTTCGATAGTCTACAAAACAAACCATCATTATACAATAACTTGACTAATTACCCTAACCTGCCTAGTTAACCTAATTAACCTAGTTGAGCATTTAAATGTCCCTTTAGGCTGTATAGAAGTGTCTTATAAAATAAGATTTATCTAGTAAAATATTATGTGCTGTCATCATGGCAAAGATAAAATAAATCAGTTATTAGAAATGAGTGATTAAAACTATTATGTTTAGGAATGTGTTGAAGAAATCTTCTCTCTGTTAAACAGAAAGTGGGGAAAAACATAAACAGAGGCTAATAATTCAGCAGGGCTAATAATTCTGACTTCAACTGTAATAGGTTGCCTTTAAATCACCTTTCCTCCTCATCCCAAGGCTCAATTCGAAGATCAGAACATCATCTTTACCACATCTACATGCTAGGAAAAAGTAAAATAATAATTATAATAAATATATAAGCGGCTGAAACTATTGGTAAATCTGACTATTGTTTGAAAATTTATTTAAAAGGTGGGTACAAAACTGTAAATATACCCTAACAATTAAAATTAAAGAAGACAGAGAAATATGCTTTTTATTTCCTCCAGCAACCAAGAAAATGATCAATTTTTCATATTTGAGAGTTGTGTTGGTTGAACCTGTTGACGGTGTATTGTGCTGATCAACTGAATCAGGGTGTAGTGGGGTAAGCAGAGCCAATAAACTTCTTTCCGTCTCCATAGGTGCTCTTGTCCCATGTGTAGGTCTGAATGCCCAGACTGTGTCCTCCCAAACTCACATCACACCTGAGAAAGCAGTCAAGATGGAAAATTCAATCATAATCTGACTAGGGTGTGCAATATTTACAATTAGATCCTCATTTTTCTATTCAATAATTATACTAATTATTTTGCTGAGTTTTTATGCACAGTTTATTGCTTGGGTGATTCATTGAAGCATTCGTTTACATGTTTTGCACAAAATGGTTAGATCATTTGAATTCAATTCCAATAAAAGGAAATCAAGCAAGTGACTAGCTTTGAATGGATCATGGATTTTTTTTGTAGGAATATAAATAAACTAAAATAAAAAAAAAATTTTTTTGCATTCTTAACTTTAGTTGAATCACTCATTGTCCTTTGGCTTAGTCACCACAGTGGAATGAACCACCAATTACTCTGGCATATGCTTTTTATGCAGCAGATGCCCTTTGGGTCTCATTTGTGGAATCATTTTACCCACAGTTTCAACGTCAAAATGTTTTTCCTTGTTTTTGTTTTTACTGAAATCATACATAAATGAGTATAAAGACAGAAATAAAAATAGGATAACTCACTTCTTTCCAGGACGGGTGATGTAGCAAAGGCTGTAGATGGCCAGATCAAACTCAGGACTACAGCCAATAAAGGCAGAACCCAGCTCTTTGAAATATCCATCCCAGTTAAACTGCATTCCCAATACATCAGGATACGTGGTCCACTGAGAGAGAGAGAGAGAGAGAGAGAGGACAAACTGCACTTTTAGCAAACTTCCACACTTTTAAGGTGAAACACTGCAGCTACAGCTCATTTTTTTTCATGTACCTGTAAATTTGTGGTCTCAAAGTGATTTTTTTTGGAAATTTAATGGATATTTTATGTAAAGAAATTACTGAAAAAGTTAACTTTGTGTCACCCTTTATTAATTTTTGTCTATGGATTTAAATTAAAAATATTTTTAAAGGCTGTTTTTTTTCTCATGCATGAATTTTCTCCATCCTAAATCTCCATTTCAGCAGTAAACACACCAAGGTTTTCCCAGAAGAATTAGTTCATGCTTAAATTGACTTTCAATTGACGTTTCAATTTTTAAGATGTAAGTGATGCTGAAACAGAGGTTTATGATTCAGTGCAGAAGAAACAAATCTGAGAAATCCGGCTTTAAAAATATCTATAATCTACAGACACAAATTAATAAAGTTTGACAAAAGGAATACTTAAAAGTGCATTTTGCAGATGTTCTGTATACTAAACTGAAAAACATTTTATGAACAGCCTAATAAAACGGAGAGGTGCATGATTTTGCCTGCAGTGTCTCATCTTGTAATGGCTCTGTTTTGTTTGATTGACTCTCAAAGGAAAAGACTCACAGGACCGTCAAAACTGTGGCTGTAGTAGTTCAGGATTCCCTGTTTCTCACACTGATAAAACTGCACCCAATTGTGGAAACCGGACACTTTACCACCCTTGATTTCACCTGTCGGCACACCGCATGTCAGACGAAGTGGTGAGAAATGCAGTTTGAGATTGTAAAGATCATTTACAGACTGACCTACAAAAATGTGCTCAAAGCCGCTGGAGTCCAGTTTGACTCCGTCTGATCGAGAGTAAAGGCCGAACCACATCATCTTCAGGTCCTGGAGGAACTCACTCTGTGATCCATACACACCTGAATGTGTTCACAGCACATACAGAATTTATTAAAATATTTTGAATCTTTTATTTAAGCCATTTTTTTATAAGGAGTTTGGAATATTAGTAAATTAATTATCTGTAGTATCTCTACAATTTAGCCAGCATCTAGCTCTCAGCAACTCTCACATGCTTACCCACTGAAGCTAAGCACCTGAAGTCAGTACCTGGATAGGAGACCACATAGGAAAAGCTAGGTTGTAGTGTTAATCCTGGAAATGGTGTTAGTGATGCTCAATCTGTGGTCTGTGTGGGTCCTAACGCCCCAGTATAATAATGTGGTCATTAAAAATCCCTTTGAAAAAGAGTGGGCCAAATTTGCCCACTGGCCTCCTAACCATCCCCATATCATAATTGGCTTCATCACTCTGTCTCCTCTCCACCAATCAGCTGGTGTACAGTCTGGTGTAATATGGCTCCCATTGGGTCATCCAGGTAGATACTGCACACTGTTGGTGGATGAGGAGATTCCCCCCAAAAATGTGTGAAGTGCCCTATATATTTTTTATTATATTATTTATTATTAGAATAGTGTATTTTATAATATCATTATACAATAGTGTTTTATATATTATATGTATTATATAATTGAATTGTATTATATAGTTTGAGTTATATACTAATTATATATTTTCATTTTAAGCTTACATTAAAATGTTTGTAAATATTTGTTAAATGTTTATTAAATATTTTGTTAAACATGGTTAATTTAAAATCTGTTAAAATGTATAATTTAATTTAACATTTTAGTTATCCTGTTGTGTGTTTTTGTCAGGTTTTTTAAAAAGTCCATATTTTCTTTGTAATATTTTGGTTTTAATTCTGTAAGTACATTATGATAAACTAAATGAAAACATTTTCTAGCTTTTTTCCTCTATATTTTATTTCAAACTAAAATTATTTTAGTAAACTGTAGTGACCATAATGTATAAAACTAAAACATGTATATCACTGTTCAAACATTTGTTGAACATTTGTTTACATTTTGTAAGATATTCTTACATTTTAAATAGCTGTTATATATTATAAATAGAAAAAACGTGTCATACGTTGTAAAAAAATGTGTGTTTGTGCAAGATAAAAGAATTAAGTTGACTTATTAGTTTGTACAAATTTAAGTGGATTGAACATAAAACAATTAAGTTGTCACCAAAAAAAAATTGTGAAGAATTGTGCTGTTTCAGCTCAATTAAAATAAGAACAAGCAGACATCATTATTTGAGTGTATTACAATCAGCAATTAATATTTCTGTAAAAACATTAAATAAATTATGTTTTCAGAAATTGTGATGAATAAAACATTTGAAAAAAAAAACTATAGTTTATTAAATTTTTCTTGATAAGTATTCATATAATAATATAAATATGTCAACATTATTCAATAAGCACTAAAGTACACACACAAATCACACTGCATTTGA